AAACTTCAGGTTTTACTGCTACCATTTCTCTATTACAGGTAGGACGGTAAGACATGGCAGACATTCAAGAGAAAAGCTCAATATCTCTGAGTTCTGAAAATGGTTAAAGGAGCATAGGAAAGAAATCTGAAGATAATGGCTACCTTCACCCTTCCCAGTATATCAAAGTTGCTCTGACAAGTCAGCTTAGTTTTATAAACAAAGCTAGATACATTTCCGCTGATGTTTTCAAAACTTCTCTGATGCTATTTTCTTTAGGCTTGTCACAGCAGAAATCTCCTTAAGTTAAATTACCAAAAAATGCCCATTGATGCTTTTTCCTACTGCTCTGTAATTAATAGTATTAATGTGAGAAACACCATTTAATTACAAAAAAAAAAAAAGTTTGAAATAACTTTTTTTTTTTTTAACCTTTTTTTTTTAAAAAAATCTTTAAACACAAAGATTCTGTGCAAACACAGTCATGAACAGGCCAAGTAGTCATGACACAAAACAAAACTTGTAGAGGGCAGAATATTTTTTATTAGACATAGCTGTGAGAAAAAAAAAAAAAAAAAAAAAGCCCTCTGGAGGGGAAAAAAACACGAAAATAAAAACCACTAGAAGGTAACCATCTTATACACCCAATTCCCCTCAAGGACAAGTGGTTAAGGTGGGAGCTTTTACGTAAGTTGCTCTGGGCATAGTTTCCAAATTTGAAAGTGATTTCGTGCCCCAAACATGACAAAATTCCAACCCCCTCCTCAACCTCCAGAGTCACAGCAGCTGGTACAAGCTGCATACGAACACTGCTTGGCAAATATCAGCCTAGTTCCATGTGCACACACCACTCCACTGTTAAATCGTTACCTGAATCAAGGTATTTACTTAAAGATTCATCCAGAGGAGGTACAGGCAGCGGAGGCAGGGAATCTTGGTACTGAAATGTTCGCTCTTCAGAGGACTCGAGCACTTGCTTTTCCATGCTGTAGACCTGCAGCACGATATTAGGTCTATTAATGACGCTGCAGATAAATGACACACTGCCTCCCTATTCCTTTTTTATTTTCCTTTATTTCATCCACACAGTGAAAGGCATACGTCATAGGAATCTCTATGGACAACACCCAAACTTGAGGATTCTGTTGGCCAGCAGCCTCAAAAGCATATACACATCAGGGGAACGTTGACCAAAGGGCTCCCAACCGCTTCTTTCTTGGTTAATTCTAACTAATAAACTCAAAACTACGCCTTTTCCTTCTCAAAACGCAAGCAGCTCGCCCCCGACCCACCCTGCTATGTCCCCCAAACCCCTCGCACACCTCCAGCCCGCCGCCTACCTACCCGCGCTGCGGAGCAGCCGCTGAGGGGCCGTTACCCGACCGAACCTTCGAGCCCCCGAGCGAGATGGGCCCATGCGAGGCCCGAGGCCGCTGCCACCGCACCACGGCGAGTTTACACGTCGGCTCGGGGCCTCGGCCCGGAGAAGCACGGAATCAGCCCAACCACGGCGCTGCCCGGCCCGTACCGCTCCCTCTCGAGCACCGCTCACCTCCCCGAGCCGCCGCCCTCCGCGGCCGATCGCTCCCCGCCCGCCTTTACCTCTGCCCCACTTCCAAGCGGGCCCGGAAACACGGCGGGGTGGGGCGGGGCGGGGCGGCCGTGCGCAGGCGACCGGGGCTGGGGGCCCTGTGGAACTGCAGGGGAAGCGGCTTCGCGGAGCTCAGCGGCTCGGGGGGCGCTGCTGGGCTCGGGGAAGGGAGGGAAAGGAGGAAGCGGCTTCTGCTTGGCGTGCGCCGTGTGTGCCCTGCGTGAGGGGTCCCGGCGGTGTGCCTCGGGGGGCCGTGTGTGGCCGTCTCCTGAGATCCCCCGTGGGCTACGCTCGGGGCTGTGGGACCTGTAAGGAGCTCAGGCTGGTCCTCAGGGGTTCCGCTGCCGTGGGTGAGTGGTCAGCCAGGGAGAGTGCGGAGGAGCCTTTGGGGTAGCGGTGCGATGAGCAGCTCTGCAGAAGAGGAGGGTGAATGTGAACGGGCAGCAAGGCTAAGACTGGGAGTAAGAGCAGCCCTCGCTCCTGGAAGCAAGTGCTGCGCTACGCTTATGGCTCAGCAAGCAACACAAGGCCTCCCAGTCCTACTTGGCTATGGTTAATGAGCTTTCTGCCTTAAGTCACCTGCAGGACTGCCCTTTGGCACCTCCAGAAGTGCTGCTGCTACCCATATGTAGAGATGAGCAATGTGCAGCGGGTAGCCATGGCTCAACACAGGTGTACCACACCTTTGTCCTTGGGGGACATCACTGCCTGGAAGAGCTGCTGAGACCTTGAGGCCTCAAGGAACGCCTCTCAGCAATTTATAAAAAGCTGTTGGATGTGACATTGCTATTGCGGATAGGAGGCTGAGGTGCATGTTAGGCTATCTGCGTCATTCAAGAGGCAGGAGATGTAATCTCGTTCTTCAAAACAAAATAAAACAAAACAATTTAAGAAGAAGTTTTGCAGTATGCAACAGTTATTTTTAAGCAAACTTAAGGCTTACTTAAGATTTCACTTCACAGTTGAGAATTGAGCTTGGAACATGGCGAAGTCAGCATGTGATAGAAAACATTGCGTGTGATTTTTGCAATCCTTGGTAATTATACTATCTCTTGATCATTCTTGCCATGAAGCATTAGTAATTGTGAAATAAGAGAGACCACTGTTTCATAAACTGAATCCCAAATGGCAAATTTTTGAAATGCTGCCTTAAAGCCTTTAGTTGTAGCAATGGGTATTGCTATGCTGTTATTTGAGTTGGGGCCTAGCCAAAAATTTTCCATCCACGCATTTTAGATAACAGCAAGATATGCTAATATTCTGTTTAGACTGTAGTGATGAAAACAAGGAGAATTTCGTTTTCTGTGTTGTTCCTCAATATTGTACTTACACAGGAGCACACCTAGCATGGACACTGTGAAAGCAAATTGGGAAAAAATGAGTTGTTCACCTGCTAAATTGCTGCTTAATCCTACTCTTGTGCTAAACCTCAGAAGAGGATCATAATCTAAAACTGTACATATCTAGAGATATTAAAGACAGAAAATGTTGTAAAAGGAACCATATCCCCTTTCTTTGCTTTCTTCATGGCTTTAGCATCACTGGGCACCAGTCTCTGTGGTTTCCAACAGTGATTGTAACCTGTTGACAAGATCTGCCATGGTATCCAGTGGGCAACAAGCCTTGTCCTCTGAGTCTCATGTGGCCTCTCCAGCCACAGGAAGCGATGCAGCCACCCAGATGGGTGTCCCTGAGGGAACATGCAGCCATCTGAGTTTTGAGATGCAGGATGTGCCCGGGTCTTCAGTCAGTGCCTGAAAGCAGCAGCAGTATAAAACCATGACAGTACACCTGTGGAAGATCTGTTCAGGTTGAAGAACTGCTCAACCTGGTCGCAGAGCTTCCGGAGAAGGTGGGCAGGCTGAGGAGCTTCAGGAAATCAGAGAAGGATTTGATTGGTGGAGTCATACTCTACTGTCCACCCCTGAGGCAGACTCATTACCCAGTCATAACACAAGAAACAAGGGTTACCCTACTCTCATGCCACCAGCAGAAAGGAGGATATCTAAGAGACGGAGGAATGGAAGCAGGTTTCTACCTGGTGTGACAGATTAGCCCTCTCCCTGCCTATGTCACTTTCCCAGGTGCCCCTACACACCAGGTGTACAATGTGGATGAAGGTCCATCCAGGTTGGAGGGGTCACCTGGGGCAAGTCAGCCTACCCCTATGTCACAGCAATCTTCATCAGGAAGAGAAGAGCTACTGTTGTAAGGGACTCCCATCTGAGGGGAACTGAGGATCGCCGCCCAGATTAAACTCATAGGGAAGTCTGCTGCTTCTGTAGAGTCCAGCTAAGAGACACCACTAGAAAAATCACTTGCCTGGTTCAGCCCTCTGATTATTACCCATTGTTGTTTTTCTCATTTTGGCAGTTATGAGATAGCTAAGAGAAGTCCAAGGGTGGTCAAAAAGGACTTTAGGACTTTGGAAGATTGCCTAAAGGACGGGTGCACAGGTAGTTTTTTCCTCTGTCCTTCCAGTAGCAGGGATGATCAATATTAAAAGGAACGGGAAGACCCAAGAGGTCACTACATGGCCGGTGTCGCTGGCAGAATTTTGGGATCGTGGGACCTAAGCACGGGATGAGCTGGTCAAAGGAAGTCATTGCCCTGCTTTCATGTGGCTTCCCTTTGAATACTGGGGTGCCACAGTCAGAAAGGACATAAAGGTATTAGAAGTGTCTAAAGGAGGGCTACAAAGATGTTCATTGTCTGGAGGGGAAGATGTATGAGGCGCAACTGAGGTCGCTGCGTTTGCTCAGCCCAGGGCAGAGGAGCGGAGGCCTGATGGCGGCTGCAGCTTCACACAGGGAGCAGAGGGGCAGCGCTGAGCTCTGCTCTCTTTGGCAGCGACGGGGCCAAGGGAACAGCATGGAGCTGCGTCAGGACACGTCAGGTTGTATATCAGAAAAATGTCCTTCACCAGGGGGTAGTCAGGTGCTGGAACAGGCTCCCCGAGGAAGTGGTCATGACACCGAGCTGCTGGAGTTCAAGCGTCTAGACAAGAATCTTAGTCATGCGGTCTGATTTTTGATTGGTCCTGTGCAGAGCCAAGAGTTGGACTCTGGACTCAGTGATCCTTATGGGTCCCTTCCAACTCAGGATATTCTATGACACTGCAATCAATTTTAAAATATTTTCTGTGACATAGCCTGCTGCACTCAGAATAAAATTTCATCACTTCTGTAATATCTTAATACTCATGGCTTATCTGAGCAGGACTTTGTTCCCTAATTTCTTTCCTTCTATGTACGGTGCTTCATCTGCAGTAGTAGCACCTTCTGGCTGCTTCCCTACTGTTATACACCTTTGCTGCCAAAATGGCTTCCCACTGCCAATCTCAGTACCCTCCTTTCTCTGAGTCACTTTGCTCAATCGCCTTTTGCTTCCTGCAATTACTGGTAAAGCAGCTACTTGTCTAGCACATAAGAAAGTAGCTAGGATCAGTGACCTACTAGAATAGCATTGGTATGTTCAATTCACCAATAAATTCTATGAAGGTCTGTGTTAGCTATGCTGTGAGCACATCAGCTCCAAGTCTTCCACAGGTCAGAGTATACTTTCATATATTTTTTCAAGACTAGGTAATGACAGATGGCTTTCTGGGGAAAAGAATTTCAGTTGGTAAAGAGGTATGTGTATTTTTTGTTATCAGTTTTAGGATGTTAGTAACTAATTAACCTGTTTAGATACAGTCTGCTAAAAGTGTAGCTCAGAGAGATAACGTGCTGGGAAAAATGTGACCAATGCATCAAAAATTTGAGGATATGCATAGTTTTCTCTTATAATGTATAGGTGTAAAGATGAAAGATTAAGATCTTGTCTTAGTTTTCCAGGTTTCCTGAGCTCAGGAGCTACTGATATGTGGTTTCCTGCAGATTTTGTCCTGAAGTTTAATCACTTTGCTGTCTCCTGTCTCCTGTGTGCAGCAGCATACCACTGGATTTGCCCGAGTGGAAAAACTTCTAGGGATAGTCCTACAAATCCTGTAATGGATATTATTATACATGTTACAGAGTGCATTCTCATAACTGGACATTTCTTCCCATGACTATTGTTGTCTAAAAAGCCTAAGTGCCTTGGAAAATACATGTTTTAAATTTTATTAAAAATGATGTGAATGATGTATATGAACAAGCCTATGTCAGGTGTAGTTATGTATAAAGCTGTGGGACTGTTGGATCTATTTCTTTGTTTGTCTTAGTGCAAGTGTTTTGTTGGTTCATATGCTTTCCACTGTATTTTTTAGTTGGTATTTGTCCACTTGCTATAAGATGATGAGTAGAACAAATGTAAAACATCGTCATGGTCTGAAAAGCCTGTGTCTCAAAAGTGTGATTAAAAAATAATGTAAAATGTCCATTTTAAATGTGCTGCTAAATGTACTGCAAGACCACATCTGTATTCATTTTGGAATCCTCTGTACAAGAAAGATATTGACATCCTGAAAGGAGTCTGACAGGGGCCGCTGCCATTGTGGCCGGAATGGATGATGTGCAAGCAGAGGCTGAGAATGCTAAATGGGGATTTAATTAATACCTTCACCTCTTTTATGGAAAGGTACAAAGAAGGAAGTGGTATGCTCTTCTCTGGGGGTACCCAGCAAAAGAACAGGCACCAAAAGACATGAACTGCAACAGGGGAAAGAAAAATGAAAAGAAAATTACCTTCACTGTGGGCCTGGTCACGCTCTGGAACTGGGTTACCCAGGGAGACTGTGGAATCTCTGTCCTTGGAGATATTCAGAACTCAGCTAGATATGGCTCCAAACTCATCTAGCTTTAAAATTGAGTCAGACTTCAAAGATGGCCCTGGTTGTTTGGGGGTTTTGGACTATATGATCTGTAGAGATTTCTTCCAGCCTAAATTGTTCTTTGATTTATCTGCCTGCTCTTTTCGTCTTTTATACTGTTTTTTATACAACTAGGATTTTTAATGTATTCTAAATGTAGAGAGAGTAATGGAATATACACTTCTCTAGGGAATATTTTCTTAAAACAAAATTCATACTTTTTCACACTGAACCATTTCTTTGCCGATGGCTCCATAAAAAATAAAATAATAAAAATAAAAAATATATATTTTTGGCTGTGAACTATCTCAAGCATATTTTGGCTGCCTTTAATTGATCGGATCATATACCAAATTTAAAATGTGTGGTTAAGAAAAGGTACAATCCAGGAAAGTCTTGATTGTACAGAGGAATTCTTATATATCATAATACCTTGGTACAGTTGACTCTGTAGAGGGAAGGGATGCCATCCAGAAGTACCTGGACATTCCTGAGAGGTGGGCCCATTCCAACCTCATGAAGTTCAAGCTTTCCAAATGCAAGGTCTGCACCTGGGATGGGGCAATAAATACAGGCTGGGTGGAGAATGGCTTGAGAGCAGCCCTGAGGAGAAGGATTTGGGGGTGTCAGTTTATGAAAGACTCAGCATGAGTCAGCTTGCAGCCCAAAAGACCAGCTGTAACCTGGCTTACATCAAGAGAAGTGTGACCAGCAGGTCAAAGGAGGTGATTCTGCCCCTCTACTCTGCTCTCGTGAGACCCCCACCTGGAGTACTGTGTCCAGTTCGGGGACCTCCAACACAAGAAGGACGTGGAGCTGTTGGAGAGGGTCCAGAGGAGGGCCACAGAGATTATCAGAGGGTTGGAGCACTCTGAGCCTCCTCTGTGAGGAGAAGAGAAGGCTCCAGGGGGACCTTACAGCGGCCTTCCTGTACCCGAAGGGAGCCTATGGAAAAGCTGGGGAGGGACTTTTTATAAGGGCAGATAGTGACAGGATGAGGGGAAATGGTTTTAAACTGGAAGAGGGTAGATTTAGACTAGGTATTAGGAAGAAATTCTTTACTGTGAGTGTGGTGAGACACTGGAGCAGGATGCTCAGCAAGGTTTTGGGTGCCCTGTACCTGGAGGCATTCAAGGCCAGGCTGGATGGGGCTGTGAGAAGCATGGTCATGGAGGTGTCCCTGCCTGTAGCAGGGAGATTGGAACTGGATGATCTTAAAGATTCCTTCCAGCTAAAACAATTCTATGATTCCGTCGCCAGTGCAACAATCTAACTCGGATCTTAGATAAAAGACTGAAAGATGGGGGCACTTGAAAGATAAAGACAACTTAGAAATAAGCTATGATTTTTTTAGAACTCCTGCCTTCCCTAACTAGAACTGCCTAGATTTCACAGAAGTTCAGATTCAGTTGAATGTATGCCCCAAAAGATCATCTGTTCATGTAATAATTCTTTATTATGTGTGGCTATTTTTTTTCCCTGAATTACAATGAGATCAACTGAAGGTGTCTTGTAACCAGTAATACAGACTCTGCAGGGTCGTTTTTTTTCATTTTGTTGTTGTTGTTGTCTTTTCTTTTAATTAAGAGTTGTAAAATAATTCTTAAAGGCAAATGACTCCATTAGGTTACCACAGATCTGTCTTCTACATCCAAATTTTGGGAATGTATATGTAATCTCAGTGTGCATCTTGCCAGCTGGCCTAAGTAGGTCACTTTGCAAAAAATGTTATGAATTCTTGTCTCTTTCCTCTTATCAGCAGGAGGATGATGAAATTGTATGGGATTTGCTGACTGATTTATCTGAAAACTAACCTACAAAGTAAGTATTAGTTCTCAGCTTGATAAGCTGCTCTACTTGTTGTGTTAGTGTTGTTGTTAGTGTTGACAGAAAGATTGGGATAGAAAACTATACTTTGGGAAGCTGGGAAGGGCAGGATTACTTCTGCCATCATCAACATCAAGTTAAATTTGAGGAGAAAACATCTGTGGATTTATGCCTACAGCATTCATTACTTTGTGTAAATATTATTTACCCAGTTCTCCTTTTGACTCATATGGCTGGTTTACATGTATCAGAGCTAGAAGGTAAGTGGACAGTGAAGACTTTTTGTGATACTGGGAAAGCTGTAGGTGGTGCCATGGAGCAGTAATCCTAACAGCAACTGGTAATGAAAGTAACACCTGAATAAACAACCTTTTTCAAAGAAAAATGCATCGGATATCAAGGAAAAAATATCCCAAGTTCTTAGCACAAGCCCCTCAGCACATATGCTCTCATTCATTCTGTTTGTGAGTGATAGGTGCAACAACACTGCCTAGAGGAAGGTGGAGACAGTCATAAGCTATCACTGTCTACATTGTGCTCAGTTAACTCTAGTGGCCACCCACTGCAGATGGTAATTGTGCTGCTCAGTCAGTATTTGTTTCATTTGTTGTGAGATTGCTCATGCACTATATGCTAACTGATATTAGGAGAAAATTAATTTTCTTAAGTAAGTGGGTGCAGTTAGTATTCAAGCCATGTACATACTTTTTTGTTGTTTGGCTGAGGTTTTTTTTAAGCACTTTCTTCAAATTCGTATTTCTTCTTTCAATTTCCAATGAAATGCCTGTATTTCTTCCTTATCTGTAATGCAAGAGTTTGCTGAACTACTGGTCCAAAAGGCTGGGAATGAACTGAGGCTGTAGTTGTGCCATGGCTCTTGCCACCACCCCATTTCATTTCAAATTCTGCTTCTTTTACTGCTTGGCATGCAAGGTCTTGTTTCCCCCCTGGTCTTGCATTCATTTTGTAGTTAACATCCAGTCCGGGCATGATGCTTTCCTTGCCAAATGAATATTTATTGTCCTGATTATATATGTTGATAATTATGTCTCTTTTCTCCTCTATCAACAAATTATCAAGGGATGTCAATTTGTCATCAATGATTTTTTCCTTGATAATCCTTACATAGAGTATATATCCTTAGGCTATAAAAAAAGAAACAACAATCTATTATGACTTATTTTAACCTTTATCAAGCCAATTGGCTGACAATGAATAGTTTCTTCAAGTTAGCCGATGTACTACAATTTGGTACACTGCAGAATTTGTTGTTTGTTGTGCCTATGCACCAAATGTCTATGATCTTGGCACTGGGCAGCAGGGTGGTTCCTGCCTCTCTACTCTGCACTGTGAGACCTCACCAGGGGTACTGTATCTAGATGTGGAGAGATGTGGACCTGCTGGAGTGTGTCCAGAGGAGGGCCGCAAAAATGATCCAAGGGATGGAATACCTCCCCTGTGAGGACAGGCTGAGAGAGGTGGGGCTGTTCAGCCTGGAGAAGAGAAGGCTCTGGGGAGAGCTTAGAGTGACCTTTCAGTATCCAAAGGGGATCTGTGAGAAAGCAGGGGACACTTTAGCAGGGTCTGCTGTGATTGGACAAATGGAAATGGTTTCAAACGAAAAGGGGGAATTTAGATTTGGGTATAAGAAAAAAGTTTTTTACAACAGTGGTGATGAGGCATTGGTACAGGTTGCCCAGAGTGATGGCGACATTCAAGGTCAGGCTGGATGGGGCTCTGAGCAACCCGACCTAGCTGTACGTGTCCCTGTTCATTGCAGGAGAGTTGGATCAGATGACTTTTGAAGGTCCTCAACCAATTCTGTGATTTGATTCTGCACTCCAGTGTCCAGAAGCTGAAGCTGTCATCTGCTTTGGTGAGGTAGCTTCTGCGTTAAAAGTGAATGTATATATCATGACCTTTTCCCAGGCTCTTGGTTGATTTTTGTTGTCAATAAATGTAGTCTGTGCTCTCAGCTATGCATCTTTTCCTGACCAGCTGAGATATTCCTTATTTCACTGCACATATCTATTGTTGTATATTTATTCTTTTATCTACTACTGTCACTGTTGTGCCCACTTCAGACAAAATCCCATCCTTCACAATTTATCAATTATTTCTTAGGAAAGTGCAATAGGCATTTCTTTGATTATACTTGCAATACTAACAGTTTTGCTGCTGTAGCACTATGGAGTTTCCTGGCTTTCTTAGAATCTCCAGAAGTAAGCATGAATATGTTGCAAATGTTTGTTAACACCAGTTCTACAGAGCCTGTGGTGCTATGCTGTGGAAGGGTAGCAGCCTACACATGTACACTTTGCTAAGACAAGTTTAAGGTCCTGATAAATACACTTCTATCAGAAATTTTTTATCCTCTTATAGAAGAACTTTCATGCTATTAACATGCCTGAGAGCATTCAGGAATGGTTTCCTCATGCCATTTCCTAATGATTTGTTATCAGATTGCATATTTGCTCCATGTAGTGATGGAATTACTACCTTCTGGGGTGTGCAGTAGGTTCTTTTTTTGTATGAGGCTCAGCTTTGCATGTCTGGAAGGACTATTTTATCAGAGACTTGTGGTACAACTTCTGGGTATCTTCTGTAAGTCCTTCCATGTAACTTTAGTTGCTTCATTTGTTTACTGTACATTAGACCTAATGTCTTGCTTATGATTTTTTAAGGATTCACATCAGGTCTGCCTTCTTTTTCATTCTTAGGTCATCTCTGTCAGTGATTTCCTTTATTCATGCATTTCTTTGATTGCCCTTAGGGGAAGTTTTCAGGGTACAGTTGTAATCCCTGGCTTAGATGTTTGTAGGTTTCTTCTGCTTCAGTTTATTTCTGTCCACCCTGAAATGTTGCCTTTGATGCTTTTTGGGAGTTTCTGGATTCTTGGCAGTTGACTGCATTTCTCATTCAATCTCCTTCTTTCTAAAATGTTACTCAGTTTATAGTGGAGCACTTCAGCCCTCAAACTGGTGTGTGTATCATTCAAACCCTGAGGTATCTACTGAAAGATTTGAAAAATTTTTCAAGAGCGTCACACATTGTACCTAAAGGAAACACTCTTTTTCTGACTTCAGGTTCACGTTGAGTTCTTGAAAAATGTCTCTATCTTTTCCCATGAATGGAATGGAGTTTACAGTGCCAATTATGTTTTCCTTTTTTTTTTTTTTTTTTTTTTTTTGCACTGAGGATAACTGTGGTGTTTATAGGACTACTATTTATTTTTATTTACAAGCAGCAGAACACTAAGAGTAGCTTTCTTACTGACAGTTTGCATTGTCTTAATAGTTTGTAGCACTTGATAACTTTTCTCTCATTTGTTATTGCTTCCTGGAAGTGCTGCAGTCAGTTTTTATATCTTGATCTTCAGTCAAAGAAGCGGATAATGTTTGGATCCCTGCCTTGAACATTTTAGTTTTCTTTACTGATTGAAAACATTTCTATAGAATAAGGTTTGTCCCCAAGCTGTTAACTAATTTTCCAATACTGAAGACCCAAATTTGCTTTTGAAGATGTGTGATGCATCTGAGACAACAGTATGTGGAATCATTAAGTTTGGAAAAGACCAGTAAGATCATCTAGTACAACCATCAACACATCATCAGTTGCTGCCATCATCACCTATCCGTATTTCCATCACTGTCACTGTACCCAGTCTGTACCCAGACTGCATCTATTTCATTTCGTTATATTTTCCATAGTCAGTCCTGTATACAGACTGAACATTTTTAATGTAACTTCTACACATAATAATCCTGTGCAAGGCTGAAAAGTCAGCTTTTCTATGAGTCCTAGTCCCTCCAGATTTCCTGTTTTCTCTATTTTTAATACACCTTTATTTTATTTTCTTTCTTAGTTACCAGGCTTTAGTGGTCTGACTTTATTGCATACACTACATACTGAGTACAGTAATGAAAAGGGCTTTGTATTTGTTAAAGTAAACTGGCCCTCTGTTAGCAGAACTGTTCTTTCAGCATTGCAGCTAGCTGGCTTTCTTTCCTTGTCTGCCGATGCATTCCTTCATCAAGCCAATAGCAGTGTGGTACCGAAAGGGTTCACCCACATGTTATACAACCACTTTAATAACCTGAACTGCCATCTTAACACAGCTAGTTTTTCTGCTCTTGTCTGGAAAGCTATTTCAGAATGTGATGGGTTAAAATCCTATTTCTAGTTATGGTTGAATTCATGGACAGTCTGTACTCGTTATTCAAAGTGCCCTCACTTCTCTTCCATAAGCTCTGTATTCTAGCTATCTAATCCAGTTTGAAGTTACCTTTATTGAAGAGGCTGACCAGTATGATAAGCAGAATTCCAGGTGAGATTATTCAGTACTCTATCTGGTGGCACTCATCTTTCCCAGTCTCTAATACATCTCTGAAGTCTTCCATTTTGTAAATTCTGCTTTTCAGTCCATGTTTACTTCTGCATACTTAAAAGCAATAAAGGGACATTTTTCATTTATTTAAGATTGTCTCAAGACTGTCCTAGAGAGGAGGCTTACTGCAGCTCTTCCTTCAGGTAGAATGAGAACTGCTTAATTGCATGTCTCTCCATGAATGCTCCTAAAAGGGAAAGATTTAAGTTTATCCTTTGAAGAATAGTGACCACAAAGTAATGCATAGTTGTAGTAAAGATGCTAAAATGGCAAAGGTTTGTTAAAATAATAATTATTGACAGTAAGTGATGATTTACAGAGGGGAAAGCAAATTAAATGGCTTGCAGTACATATAATCCAATGTATTTTACAATGGGCTATAATAAGAGCCAACCTTTATAAAGCAACATACATGACTGAGTTCTTCAAATCTTACGTGTGCAACCAAGAAACAGTGCTCCTTTTTTGCTTTACTGCAGAGATCTGTATGTGCTGATTTTAGCTTTCAAAATGAGACACGTTAAATTACTTTTAGTGAATTGCAACTGCTCCAGCAATGGTTTTACTCCTAGACAAAGATTACATTGTTTGGCTTCCAGAATTGTAAGTAGTGCATAAAAAATATGCTTGCTTTCATCATTATTTCTGATAGAATCATACTTGCCCGTTGCCTGGTAAGTGTTTCACTCACAGTCTTCGTGACCTACTGCTAGGTCCCTTTGTGTTCCTGTTGTTGCACAAAAGAGACTGAAAATTGCCAATAGAGCAGCAGCTAAGAAATTTTTAAGGAGGAGGAAATTCTGGACTTCTGCAGTTGGCAAATTTGGTTCTGTAAAGACCTTGTTCTTAGGGATGAAGATGAAAGTGAAAAATAATTTTAGTTGAGAGTAGCATCTGTTGGAAATACTTCATTTGTGAAAATGTTAATTCACCAATTTTTGTTTGAAAAATGAACATTCTTTGATACTGAGAGAAAAAGTTAGAAGGTAAACAAAACCAACCAGAACTTACAACTTGTAATTCACTATTCTTAAGGAAACGTCATGCTACTTGTTTAATGCTGTGCTTTCAGAATCTTATTCTTAACATATTTTATTTTCAACCTTAGTTAGAGAACAGTCATTTCCAGTAATATTTTATTACTCTAGGAGCAACATTGCTGGACCTGATGTTTTAACAGCCGGCTTTCAGGACATCAGTGTTATGTGTCTGATTTGATAATTGCCACCATGTGAGGCTGGAGTAAATATAGCACATCAGGAGCTTTATTATAAATGGTAAGTTATAAGCAGATGCGTCTGTTAGCATCATGTGGAGAAGCCCTGCTGGGCATAACAGCACAGGTCAGGACTAGTCAGCCACTATAAGCTGCTTTAAATTGTGCACCTTCCAAACATAGGTGTGCCGCATCTTACTTCATATTAATTGCGACACAGATGTGCTATGAAAGAACCTTAGCGGCTGTTGGCATTCTGACTTCGGCCATCTGGAAGTTTGCAGAGCCCGTGATTAGCATTCACTGCCAAGCCCTCGCCTTCCCCATGCCTGTTCCCATGGAAACGGCTGCAGCTGGGAGAGGAGGGATGGGGAAGGCTTTCTTGTTATCGTTTGCATGAGGTCTTTTGTCCTGATTGAGAGTTCCCAGGACAGCAGGAAATCAGCAGTGAACGGAAGGCTGCAGACCTCACCTGGGGAAGCCCAGCTGACTGGCTGGGCCAGCAAGTGCGCTTTTCAACCAACACCACACATTTCTCAGTCTCCTAGAGAGATATGGAAAAATGGAGAATAATGATAGTGACAGAATCACAGAAGGTCTTGGGTTGGAAGGGACGCTAAAGCCCATGCAGTCCCACTGCCCTGCCATGGGCAGGTTTGCCCCCCACCAGCTCAGGCTGCCCAGGGCCCCATCCAACCCGGCCTTGAGCACCTCCAGGGCTGGGGCACCCACTGCTCTCTGGGCAGCAGTAGCAGCAATAATGTGAAAACTACAGAGTAATCCAACTGATGTATCTTAAGTTAAGGATCACAATACACTTTGGCACTCTGGTCTGTTAGTTTTGGCCAATGCTTTGGAATATCCTTATTTTATTACTATTGCTGTTATTTTTGTTAGAGCAATACTAAAAAGAAGAAAAAAGATGGCAATATTCCTAGTGCTACAAAAGCAGTTACAAAATACACAGGGATTTTTAGGTTGCTGATAGCATCTTCAGAAGCACAACTTGGGAGATGACACAAAACCATCACATGTAACCAGTGTGTTCATGTTTCCAGCTTGTTGAAATTATAACTGCCCCAGTAAACAAATGTAGGGTCTTATTTAAATCAGACAATGACGTTCACATCTTCAGCCCTTTACAAAATTGCCCAGCAGTGGTGTGAGCGCTGTAAATCTGAACATAGCTTTCCTAAACGGCTGGCTTTTCTTGGTTGCTTTGCAAAGGCTTTTTTTTTCATCTAGGTTGTGGACTGCCAGTAGTAAAATTGCCACGACTTCCATGCTGTCATTGGTGTGCTAACCTATGCTGCTTAAATTGCTGGGATCGATGTGGACACCCTTCTTACACCGCTTGATGTCACGCCCAGATGTCCCAGTCTTTTTTTGGGATGTTCTATGCTTCAGTCCCTGCCTTTTTTCTATGCATAGACTCCTCCCCTTCAGAAAAGACATAAAGCGAGCGACTCTTCCACCTGAATCATATTCCTTCCTCACCTGCACGACTGGCTTCACCTCACATCTGCTGATACATAAAGTTTGATTCTTTCTTCTCGTTACAGAGCACTGATTCAGCCCTTGGGCTGTCATTTCTTGGCACTTGCACTGGTGATTTTTCAGGTACTTTGCTTCTAAGGTAAGTTGGACAATAACGGGATAAACCTGTATGAGTAGAAAGCGTGAAAGATTCTCAGTGACTGGTAATGTATCATGAAATAGTTTAAAGACTCAGCTAAATGTGCTTCTTTCTCATGCCTGCAATTTTTCTGTCATCTTTAGAATCGGTTTGAAAAGAGATTTTTCTATTCTTACTTGTCTGCCAAGTTAAGAGGCTTCCAAAATGTTTGTTTCTGTCTTTGTAAGGAATATGTAAATGGGACTGGTGGTACTGATGCTGTGTGAATCTACCTAAGGAATTATGGCTTCTGCTGTGGTGGTTCCTCCATACCTCAGTGACTTTGAGACACATCTTTTGCCAGTTAACTTTTGATCCAAGTTTGCTTGGCTTTCTTTTCTTAGAGTTTCTTTGAAATGATTCTTAATAAATGCTGATGTTAATTTAAACATGCCCAAAAATCTACAGAATTTTAGCTACAGCAGCATCACAATAGATTTTTCTTCTTTCTTGTTTGCATTTAAATTGGCGAGAATTGCTGCCTACTCTGATCTGGTTGCACTTCTCATACTTTTGTAAGCAGGTAAAAAAGACTACATATAAGCATATAGGTTTACTTTATGAACAGTCATCCACTCTTACATATACCAAGCTGTATTCAGAGTGAGAAGTAATACCTGTGATGACTTTAAGCATCTTGGAAATGTTGCTCTTTTTTAAGCTGCTTATATTTATCTCCTATTAGTTTTACAGTCTTTTTAACAGGAACCTGTGAGTTTATTTCAATGGTTGAAGATTTTTTACAAATTCTGTTTCACTGTCACTTCTAAGCAATTTATCTGTGCCTGGTATTTCTGTTTGGGGGAACAGAGCCTGGTATGCAGTAAGCAGTGGGATGTCACCTCTGTGCTCATGTCCACCAACCTAACCTTCAATAATAAAGTCAAGAAAGAAGAAGAATGGTTGAGAATAACTCTTCTGATAGAAAAGACTTAAGAACAATGCAGCTGGCCTCTTTGATCCTGTTTCTCCTCTCAGTAAAAAGAACAGAGTAGTTACAGATCTTGCGTCAGTGCTACTTCTGTCTGTCAGTAACCAGAAGCACTAAAGCTGCTACGCTACAGCTAAGCGTGGTTCTGGTAATTCCATCATCTCAAAAAGGGTACAACAAAATGAGAAAACAGAAAAGGGCAATGATCATAGTCATGAATGCAGAAGCACTGCCATATGAAGATTATTAAAGCAAGCCAGGCTTTTTCGTTCTGGAAGCTGAATGGGGGATGAGAGAATGTGACAGACGATTTCAGAAATGCTTAGCGGAGATTCGGAGGGATTCCCATTTGCATTCCTTATGTGGCTACTTGAGGGCATCAAAAGAAGTTGTAGGAGTCAGATTCAGAATAGAAATCATTCTTCATGCAATGGACAGTACAACTCATTGCAAAAGGGTGTTGTGGATGCTGACTATGTGGATGTAAGGGGAGACTGGATAAATACAGAAATGAGACATTTCATAGATGTTTTCTGTATATAAAGAAACTGCATCCAGCTGTTCCATGGAGGTCCATTGTCACTGCTTTTATAGACAGAATACTGAACTATGTGATCATTGTGTTTTCTATGTCTTCAGATGGATCTTATATTTTGGGATATCTTCTAAAAGCCTGTGTTTTTGAAGAGCCAACTCGAAACCCCAGATCAATTTCTTTTGCTGCTTGCAATATTCCTTGTGGCCAATGACTCAAATAGAAGAAGATACTGCCAAAGGTGTTGCCCAATGCTATTCCATCACCTCTATAAAAGCATTCTATAAAACTGGTTCTATAAAACTGGTTTTCATTGTTGCATGAAGATTATCTCATATCTAACTGACTGTTGTCACAGTGCAAGCAGCTCTGATGATAGAAAATATTAGCCCACTGTTATAAATTAAACTTAATGCAGTTTAATTTTCCTTTAACTGAAGAGATTTGCTTTAGAATGATGGGATGTTTTCATACTGGTTACTTTTATTTTCTCCCAGGCATGGAGAAGGCGATTGTTCGTCCATATAAAAGGCCAAATGCTCTCTGTAGGCTGATTTGCTTTCCCTGGGCTGGAGGTGGAACTTCTCACTTTGCTCAGTGGGGCAAACTCTTCAGCAGCTCAATTGAAGGTTGGTCATTTGTGTAGTTAAAGCAGAAGTTAACAAAGCTGGGCAGTCTGAATTGTAGTTACCACATTTTTTTTAAACAGAATATCACTTTCTTGAGAGCACTGCAATCTTTTTTCCAATGGACCTTATATCTAGAAAGGAATTCCACTAGGAATTCACATTTCCATTAGGATTATGGGTTTACTAAGCTTCTGTACCACCTTGTACCTTATACTTGACTAAGTTAAAAAGTTACATCCTCGGAGCTAAATTTCTGGAGACCATGTAGTATGCTTGCTGCCTCACAAACTGCTGGTATATTCAGAAGCAGCAACACAGTGGCATATTGTTAACTGTGTTAAAACAAGGCATCAGTGGTGCCTTATAGAAGCCTTATGAAGAGCTAAGAAGTACTTTTTAACACTGGGAGGCTGCACAGAATTAATTTCATTTATCCAGAGCATTTGCATCATTCTGCACTCCTTGTTATCAGATCTTAAGTTTAAACAATGGATTTATAACAGTGACATTACATTTAGTTACAGCGTGAAGCAATTGTCATTGCTGCCAGGCTGTATCAGTGCTAAAATGATCCAATGCTGAACTATTCGAAGAGGAACCAAGGCCTCATCCCAGACCTCCCAAAAGAGGAAGTATTTAGCATTTATGGAGGCCATTGCCATTGCAGTTGTACTGCTCCTCAAATTGCTTGCATGCTTCCTGCAAATTGTTGCATAAGTCACATCTACCTTTCCTAGAAATTAAAAGAAGTAAAAACTGAAAAAAGGAAAGGCTTTTGTTCAGAAGGAAAAGCTTTCAACAAAGTTACTAAGGACATGGCCTAGGAACAACTGCAGATCCTGATGGATAAAGGGAGAAAGCAGCATGCTCTTTCAGATGCTTTAGTTGTCTTAAAAAAAAAAAAAAAAAAAAAAAAAAATGAACATTTTTGTACCATTATCTAGGGTACTATGCAGTAGCTTATTCTATCTCTTGTAAAATACTTTGTGTCTTACCCATTACTTTCAGAAATTCAGGAAGTCAACATTTTTACCTATCTATTAATTCCTTATTTTCTTTAAGCAGTTAGAGAAAACTCCAAATTTTTGAAAGGAATGTAATAAAAAGACATACTATGCTCATCGATTTATGTGATGATTCTTCATTTTAATGTGCACAGCCCCTAAGAGACTTCCAAGGGGAACACAGGGACTGCATGATTCTGATAGTTGCTTAACTTTGTAATGCTGCCCTTGAAAGGATATTCTTTATTCTTTTAGTGAAATTGGTGGATTTTTCTTTGTTATTAGTACTCACTGCAATAAAATTGCCTTAAAACCTCTGCTGAGATCATTATCTCTGCTGAGCCTGTTATCATTTTAAGTGAATTTCTGACTCGAGGCTTTTATAGATTACTACAATGGGAGAGGGAACACTTGTGAGTAAAGGAGAGGATGGAGACTTGATCTGTCGTTAATGACAGGATTAAATGATAACAGTAGGAATAGCAAACACAATGTACCAACCATAAAAGGATTAGTTTACATAACCTGCATATTTTCAGAACCGATGAGAAAACTGAATGAAAATGACTTTACTGTTTGCACTTGAAACAGCTGCAATTCTTTTCCGTCTCTTCCTCCGTCTCTTCCGCAGTGTCAGTTGTAAGGCTTCCTGGAAGAGAAAGTCGCGCTAAGGAGCCTTTTGCAAAGGACATGACAGCTGTCATTAATGAAATAACCAGTGCTTTGCTGAAAGATCTGCAAGAAAAACCATTCGCCTTCTTTGGTCACAGGTGACGTTACATACATTGTCAGACACCCCGGTGAAGGAACACTTTAGTTTTGTATAGTTATTCAACCCTCTTGGCAAAAACCATTGGCAAATACATTTCTGCAAAGGTTTTGTCAAGCTGTGCTAAAAGATGCTGCTGATCACAAAGACTGTGTATTTATTTCACATTACTTTTAAATGACTTTGGGTACAATGTCTTCTGAAAATGGCAGTGCTGTGATTTCTTTTTACACTAATACATTCCAGTTGTTTAGTGTTAATATTTGTGTCAACGTTTACTCCTTAATGAATGCATGAGGTGAACCAATCATTAAACAAACACGTTCTGAAGGTCACTCAGTTTCAATTACTCAACATAACTCTCTTTACTGTAAATATGGGAAACTACTACAATAAATGTAGGCAACAAAGGCCTGATTTGTAAAACTAGCCTGTATTGAAATGTATATTGTGTGAATTAGTTACTTTCACTATAATTTGTCATAATTTCAGAACCATAAAATTCACTGTATTTACAATTTCTGTCATTGTTAAAGATAGCCAGTTAGCACTAATGTTCAAGTTATGTTAATGTTTTCCAGATTTTATTTATACTTTTATTACTTTCTCTTTTTGCTGCAGTTTTGGAGCTTACATCAGCTATGCAGTTGCAGTACACTTGAAAGAAAAGCATGGACTAGAGCCGATCCATCTTTTTTTATCAGGGGTATATGCCCCACATGTAAGTTACAAAATCATTACCAGTGCAAAGGGGAACAGAATATTAGCCAGCACGAGTGAAACACCTGTGGATACTTTTACAGTGTTGTATATGTCAAGCGCTTTAAAACAAAGCAAGCTTCAGGCCACATCAGAAAAATGTTCTGATTTTTTTTGAGGATATTAATTCTGAGGTGGATGGAGAATTTCAGTGGAATATTTACCACAGCTAACTTTAACCTAGAGAGAGCAATCTCCTTGATCTTCTTAATACTCTATTATTTATGATGGCCTTTGGCTTCAGAGTATTAAAAACAAAACACAAAGTTGCACTCCTTTGTAACATGAAATAACTGTCTTACCCCAGTTTTTTTTTATCAGCTTCCCACACCAGCCCTCAGCGCATTTGCCAGCTATTTTTTTTCTCCTTTTAATCCTTTTTCACTTTCTTAATTTACCTTCAGTACCCCCTGCTTCTGATTTTCTGGTTGTCCTGCTGGTTTTCCTGCTCTTTCTCAGTAAAATAACAGCAATTGGGCTTTTTCCCAGCCCTCCTGTGTTCAGCTGCTCTTTGCTGCTTCCATTCTTCTCTTTCTGAGACTTGTTAACAAGCATGCTTGAGCATGAGCTAGTGCTTCCTAGAAGTAATTATGAGTCCTGAAACTTTCCATAACCTCTAGGTCACTCCAGCAGTACATCAGTGGGCACCGTGCCCACTAGTTAGGCTTTTCTTCACTGTTTTATTCCTTACATTCCAATAGCGAGAGTCAAAATCAAATTCATTGCTATGTGTCTGAAATTCTCAGTGTTTTTCTCACTTACCATCAGTTAGCAAACACTGTCTCCTATCCCTCTCTAAGAAGCATTCTCTGCAAATGTTAAACTGATCAGCCACTGAGTACTGGTAATAGAGCATCTTCCCAGTTTTTTACTAAAACAATTCTTTGTGAAAATATTATTTAAAGTGCTGTATATCATGGTGTATTATTTAATACTGTGCGTATTATACACAACACCTGATCTTTTGTCTGGTGCTCACAGTCTGAAGCATTTCTTCTGATGGGAAAAGTAAATGAAGCAAAGGATGAAGACATTCTTGAACATGTCAAATTCTTAGGAGGAACTCCTTCTGAGTTTCTGAAAAATGAGGACATCAAGAAACACTTGATACTTACTGTAAGAAAAGATGTTAGCATTCTTCAGACATACTCGTAAGTTTTACAACTTTGTATGATGTTTATATTTTACAGCTTTCTTTCTTCCTGATTCTTTCAAGTAGGTTTTTTTTTTTTTTAATTTATTCCTCTGCAATTTGCTCTGGTTTCTGCTATTAAAAAATATGAAACAGTAAATATAGCTTTCTCTTTAGTGTATCTTTGTGTCTACTCTTTCTGCCATAAATGAAAACACTGTTTATGAAACCACCACAACTATTATTACAGTACTGAATATGTCATGGTAGAACTTGAAGCTAGTCATGCTTCAGGATCCTGTTGTTCAGCCTTCTGATCCAAAGACTGCTAACCTAACCAGAAGCAAAGAATCCCTTTCTTCCAGGAACAGAGAGGAAACTTCCATGCCACCTACTATTCTACAGCTAGCTTACCTAGTTGTGGATAGTTAAAGTTTCTCACCCTGGCAAAGTGAAAGACCTGTTTTGGCCCTAGGCACCTGACACTGATAAGGCCCTGAAATACCAGAACTTCAATATAAGCAGAAAGCATACATTTTATTGTCAAAGAGAATTTTCATTGCAGGTTAAAGCTCTTTTTTCTTAACTGTTGAGTCATTTTTTCTTTAAAACCTGAGATGTAAGTGCAGCAGTGTAAGGACTTAAGAATCTCACAAACACAGTAATTCCACTTCTTGATGTTCTGCACAATTTAACCCATAAAGTTTATGTTGTTTTTGAGTAGCAAAAAATAGCTATTCTCTACATAGAGGCAAAACCCAAAACCCAAAAGTATCTTAGGACAGAGAAACTTATGGTAATGAAACTTTTTTATGTTCACAGTTTTGAGAAGGCAGAAAGAAAAACCATCTTCTCTTGTGATGTCACCTGCTTTGATGGCTCTGAAGAAACAGTGCATGATGCCGAAGGTACTTTGCTTAAGTATCTTCCTTTTCTGGTTAGGCATTTCCCTGCTGTAGCAAATCATTTCATGAACAGAATTCTCCGGGGTCTTTTACCACCTTCTTAAATAAAACAGAGACACAATGAAATACAGAGAAAGCTGTTGATGAGGGATTTAAAGCAATTACTAAATAATTCTGAAGTGGTTTCATAAGATAACCAGAATAGTTGACATTTCTGACTCTTTAAATATCTTTTTCAGCCTGGCTCAATATAACCAGAGGAGATACTTCCATTTACAGTCTTCCTGGAGGTCACTTTTATCTGCTGGAACCTTCAAATGAAATTTTCTTGATAAAACATATAACCAAGTGTATAGAAAATGCTGCTTTATGAGTATTTCCCTCTATTTTAATAGCAAGTGTAAGTCTACAGCACTTAATAATTAAGTCATTCTTTCTGCTGAATTGCACTGTTATGCCTAAAAGTTACTCTGTTCCTCCAGAAGATCTTCACTGTAATTCTTTAAGAGGGTTTAAAGAGTTGTTCTGATTTTTGAAAATAAACTCTAGCTTTGTATCTTAAAAATAAAACACTTTTCATTTTTTCTCTCTCTTCTCATCCAGCACATGCATAAACCCTTCACTTTATTCAACATCAGCTGCAAAAAGTGACAGCTATTATAAGTTATTTTATCTTAAAAACTTGTGTGCACTGTAGAAATGCTAAATATGATTTTATACCAAAAAAAAAACCAACAAACCAAAACCCACAACAACAGAAGCATTTATTTCATAGGCTCAGATTTAATTAGAGTAAGATACAGTCTAAAAACACAGTATGCATGTGAACACCTCTCACACTGTGGTGGCTCACGCGTAAATGATCTTACTGTTAGATTTCACAATAACCAGTTAGTACTGCGTTCTCCTCTGCAGTGTTACTTCCTTCATCACTGAGAAGACTCACAGTGTGATGTCTGAGTATTCTAAATCCCATATTTTTCTATCAGTGCCTTTGCTTTAGAAATATAGGCATTCATGGCATCCTCCTTCGATATACCTGCAAAGAAAAGGAGTCATTATCTTTTCTTATTTGCCATCCTGTTGAAGTTATTACATGAGGTAAATTTAACTGCTGTAATACCTCTTTTCAGGTTCCACGCCTCCCATTTGGCTTTGCCTTTCATATCTAACATTCCTGGACATTCTGCCAAAATAAATGCATACCTTCATTAATTATCAAGCAGATTTATAACACATTTTCTTGTTTTCGAGATACAGGGTAAATTGGATGTATATATGGGAACAGAAATACCAATATTAATGTCTCCAACAGTAGCTTGTTTGTAGAATCCATAGAGTTCTTTCAGTTCTTCATCAGTTGGTCTTGTTTTCAATTTTTTAACATCTTCTGCAGCTCCATCGAAGTCAGCCTAATGCAATAGGAATACATAAAGTATTAGTCTGCCTCTGAAGGGGTGTGCTTAAAATATTCATTATAGCAAGCACGGTAGTTCATTATACGGTTTCTATTACTCATACGTTTAGTGGTAAGTCTAGGATTTTCCCATGAAAAGGTTTAATAAAGCCTTTAATAAACCTATGGCAGCACGGGGTCAGAACTCATGCATTCAAGGCCTAAGGTTTTGGTTAGCCTTGCAGAGGTCAGGCAGGGGGACTCGTTGGTCTTGTAGGTCCCTCCCAAGTGAACCACTCCACTGTAAAACAAGTATTTCATTCTTACTCCCAACACCAGTAGACGCGACATACCTGACCCTTTTTGTTTTACTCATACAAGTACAAACAACAGCAGCACTCATGCTCGGTCACCAGCAAGAAGAACTGACATCAGTATCAATACACAATCAAGTTGCCACAACTGACTGAAGATTACATAAGTTTTATCTTCATCTTTACACTGTGGCCACTGCTGTGTATAAAGCCCTGCCAGGACAGAGATAGAAGGACTATTTAAGTTGGTGGAAACCTCCTTTATGCAGAGTAGTTTTCTGAATTATCATCACAAAAAGAATGAGCTAGAAGCATTAGACTTGTACAGACAAAAGAAAAACTAAACAAGAAAAACAACCCACAATAAGGATGCCATTATTAGCTTCTTATTTTTCTATACTTTTATTCTATTTGGATCTATATGAAATATCACAAGCCATTGTTTCAAAAATATGCAATGCACATCTTTGTCAACAATAAGTGCATGGAAATGAAATTTCAATGACAAACATTCTTTTCTTCATCTCCCTCAATCCAATCTTTGTGCACGGATTTTGCTTAGGATTTGCTTGCTTACACAACATGCTTAGCCTGTAAAATATAATATCCTTTAATCATGAGCTGATAGAATTTCCCTCTCACTCCTCAAATTAAAAGCAGAAGTACACATATAGATTATATATACATATGCAGACTTAGATTTACACACATGCATTAAAGATAAACGCAGAAATTATTATCACTATATGTGATAACAGTCTGATACACGCAAAGAAAGAACTCTTCATCCTCAGTTTGCAAAACTCAGATGTTTCAGAGCCCTCCTGCTAAAACACTGCTCATGCTGCCCTCGTTTCCACACAGACTGAGTCAGTGACTGTAAGGGATGCGGGTGGCAGCTGTTTACCAAAGTGGTAATGGGTAGAAAGCATCTATAAGGTCTTTCTAACAGCGATGCACGGCTCAATTCTTATATATCGGGGCTAACGCGTTTATCTTCTAGCCGGAATTCAAGGCAGAATACAGCAAACTACAACGACCGCCGATGAAACAAAAGCTGGCGTTCCGCTCGGGACTTGGCAGCCCCGGCCCACGGAAGGAGCGGGCTCAGAAGGAACAACGAGCCCTCTGTGCCGCCCCTCGGAGCCGCAGCTCACAGCGCTGAGCTCTGCCAACGCGCCCCGCGTCGGGGCCTCTCACACACACACAGAGCGAGCTGAGGCAGGATAAAGGGCTGGAGGATCCTAAAGCGAAAGGGAGAACGGAAAACCCCACAGAGAACAGCAGCCAAACCCGTCCTGGCACGGGCGAGGCGGGCAGTGACACGTGCCGCAGAGCGCTGGAAGGCAGCAACGAAGGTGGTTCGGTTCCTTCGGCAGCCGCTGACGCGTGGAGGCAGCAGCTTTCCTACCGAAACGCCACTTCAAGCGCATCACTCCAAAGATGCGCACACCCTAAAAACTCCCTTAGGAATGCACGCTTCCCACACACACACGCATACGTGGGCTCGGCGCTTCCCCGTCCCGTGCCAGCCGCTAACAGCGAACCCATCCTAACAGAGCGAGCGCACCTGAGCGGCGCGTCTCCTCCCACCGCAGTCACAGTGCCCGGGGAGAGCTCCCAGCGGGCTGCGCACGGGTAACGCGCTGCTCTGAGCCCAAAGCAGACTCCTGTGCCGGGAGGTCACGGCCACGAAGACCGATGAGCTGCCGTCCCTCCCGCTCACCTGCAGGGCCATGGCGCGGCGTACACGCGAAGTCCGGCCTCTCTCCCGCAGCGCGATGCGGTGCCGTTGCCGTCAGCCCCTCGAGGCCGCGCGAGATGGCGAGCGAGCAGCGACCTCCCCTCGCGGCCGTTGCTGCCGTCACGGGACGGCGAGGCGCTGGCACGGCCGCCGGGAGCTGCGGTGCCTCGTTCCAGGAGGCGCTCGGGGCCGGGTTGGACGGGCCCTGGGCCAGCCGAGACGGCGGGGGGCAGCCCTGCCCGTAGGGCTGGGTGGGCTTTGAGGTCTCCTCCAACCGAAAGCATTCTGCAGCCGCCGCCGCCAGCGTCACGGCGCTGTTACAGCGCGAGACACGCTTCACAGTACGGTCACCGTGAAACTCCTACTGGCCAACTCACCATCAGTTCATTACCCCGCGTATGACGAGGCACGCCTATTTATTTATTACCCGCGAAAAGCACCCTGCAAAAAAAACTGACGGCATTGTTAGAATTAAGAAATGCCGGCTACCAAACCCGAAGCTGCAGCGCTCCGCAAGCACCTCCGTAAAGCCGCGGCTGCCCCCACCCGGCGGCCCTGGAGCACGGCGGCAGATGGGGCGGGAGTGCGCCGCAGGGGCGGGGCGGGGCGGGGCGGGCCGTGCTCAGGGCCGGGCGAGTTCGTGGTGCTGGCGTGCTCGGGTCGGGCCCGACCGCGGGGGAGCACTAGGCCGAGTGGGAGCGCGGCCCGAGCGGAGACCGGGTGCGTTCACCTCCCTTCCCGTCCGCACGGCGCGTTTTCAGGGCGCTGTGGTAGCTGCGCGCCTTAACTGCGATCTCTTTTCTTCTCGTCAGGAGCTGGCGGGAGGCTTTCACGAAGCGTTTGGAAACCGGAGTTTTCGAATGGAGGTAAATGTTGGAAGTGTTCGCGTTGCTCATCTCCTCTGCTGGCAGCAGTGAGTCCTGAAGCTGATATGCGTGGAAGAAGTCGGTTTTTGTTTTTTTGCCTCGTCAATTCCCGTGCCTACACGCTTGTTTTCCTCAGTAGCGTCCATTTTGAAACGACAAACGCAGGCTTCTTCACCGTAACGCTGCTTCGTGTACGATGCCTGTGAGATTTCTGGTAGCAGCTTCGCAGGTCGCAGTGTGCTGATGATCTCTGCTCGGTGCGCTTGCCCTGCCTGAGCTCACGGGGTGGATGTGGTTTAGCTGAAGGAAAACCCCTCCAGACAGACGTTGCCTTGTGGCAGTGCATATGGTGGGGGGAATTTCAACAAAGATGTTTTCTTTTTTAAAACCGAGGTAGCCTACTATCAGTATGCAGGGAATTTATATGACCAAAAAAATGGTTTCTTGTAAATATCTAAAGGTTGCCACTGAAGTAATGTACGTTAGGGAAGGAGGGAATCTGAGGAAAGCCATGTCTGTTTCTCCTGAGGAAGATGAGTTCTGTTCTGTTGGCTGTGCAACAGTAAAGCAGTTTGGCAAGGAGATGCTGAACAGTAACCCAAGCATGAGTCTGGGGACTTAGTGAGTTAGCAGGGCTGGTAATCAGAGCATGCCTTCACATCAGGATAGTTCTAAAATGCAGCTGTGCAGCAGTGAAAACTGGTCTTTCAGAACTTGAGGGGTTTTTTGTTTTTTTTTTTTTAATCTGCGGAACCTCCTGCTACATTCATTCGTACATATAGCTTCAGAAGGGTTTCCAATCACTGGTGTTGCCTTGCTGGTAAAAAGCAAGCAACTCGTGCCTTGCTGAAGGATTATTAAGGATTAGCACTGAGCTGATATGAAGATGATTGCTGCCAGTATCACTTTGAGCTGAGATTCGTCTCTTCCGTGTTCCCAAGATGAGCCTCTAGTAATGAAGTCCACAGCAAATAGTGCAGGATAGAACGACTCTTTGCCTTTTTCTTCCTTCCCTCCACAGCTAGGTGGCGAAACAGAACAGAACCTGAGGACGCCTGTAATTCCACAGGGGACGGCGTCGCTTCGTAAAGCAAAGAAAATCACTGTAAAAACATGTCTAGATAATCCCTTTGTTATTCATTGGAAAGCCATTGATGGAGATGGTATGCATTTCATATTACAGACTTTAGAAGACAAGATTAAATGTATTGGACTTAAAAAGATAGAGACTCCAAGAAAGAAAAAATGTTCCATTACAAAAAACCAAACGGAAAGCAAGTGTGATGCTAGCAACAATGAACTCCCTGCCAAAGAAGAAACAGAAGGCCATCGGCACGCACCTGGATGGACTGACATGGGCATCAGAAGACAGCTTGCTATTGGAATTAATGAAGTTACAAAAGCATTGGAGAAAAATGAACTGCTTCTCTTGCTGGTGTGCAAATCTGCACAACCTGCCATGATCACGTCCCATCTCATTCAGCTGAGTGCAAGTCGAGCCACTCCAGCAGGCCAGGTTCCCCGCCTCAGTGAAACAGTCGCACCACTTCTTGGCTTAACATCCATTTTAGCACTAGGCTTCAAAAGGCAGTCTGATAAATTTAGTGATGTAGTAGAAGCAATAATTCCAAAGATACCTGCTTTGGAAGTGCCGTGGTTTCAGTACCAAACTGTAGGATCTGCAGCATGTGCAGAGTTGTCAGAAATTGATGAAGCTGAGCAGCTTGCAGAGACGCCGGAGGAGGAGCTCACAAGCCAGAAGCGGAAGCGTACAGAAAGCAATCAGCTCGATCTTTCTCATGTAATTTTGCAGCCTTTGAAAATCAAGAAAGTTGTTCCAAATCCAAATAAGATAAAGAAGCCACCTCGCAGAAAGAAAAAAGCTTTCTCAGCATAACTGATTTTAGTTCAGTTCTTCAGATTACAGTAGTTTTTTTTACTGCCTATGGAGTCAGCTGTAACTGAACTACTTTGTTAAGCTTTAACAGTGTAAAGCCGTTGGAACTCAGGGTTAACTAATGTATGATGCATCCAGGTGAGATTCTTTCTGCTTTAATAAAGAATATGGCTCAAACTTGTGTGTGAGCTTCTGTGTGGAGATAAACATTTGATTTGCAGTTGGAGATCACAAAGTTGAAACTGTTAATGAATGTCTTGAAGTAATTTGAGGATAACAAACACATCTTTAGAATTAATATAAAGTGCTAAATAAACTTTGTTGTTTTTTCCTTTACATGAACATGCTTCAGAGAGAACTGATTCAAATTAATGCCATTATGCATTAAAAAAAAAAAAAAAATCAATACCAAAATTGAAAGTTTATTTAAACAAGGTCCATGCCAGTATAACTTTTAAAGCTGGTTCAATGCTTGTTTCAAGTAAACAGCTGTAACAGCACAGGCAGACTTCCTTTCTGAGCTTTTGTTCTTTTCTCTGCTGAACAATAAGCTTGTTTTGGTCAGGAATGTATGCAGGTTTGGACTCCAACACTACCTGGTGCCCGATATGCTGAAGGAAAAGTACTATTTTCATACATGGAACAAAATACTGCTGCATTTTTGAAAAACAAACTTCTATATGCAAACTATTAACGCACATATCCCATGAGAAAACAAACTAATCTATGCTCAGTTTCTAAATGGAGTCTAAAATTATCATCCAGGAAGTCCAGATATGCCATGTACCATTGAATGTAAAGTAGCAGATGACAGCTATAGTCACTAGAACAGACTACAAATCTTTAGAGTTTCCTTTAGTTTTACTGATGACTGTGAACAGTTTCTTAATGAAACTGTTTTGTAGAAAGGAAATAAATAGTGCTGCAATTCAAACTGCAATCAAAATAGCGCAGGAATTTATATGTCACTCTGTAACTAATAGTCAATTCTGTGGTACTGTAAAAGAGCTGAGTTACTTTATTGTTCCTCAAACATGGCATTTACACTGTATTTTTCAGGGCTCTGCTCAGTCTTCTGGTGCTATCAGCTAGTTAATCAGTGTTTTGGATTTATTGAGAAGTGACTTAAATTCACGGTTCCAACTACGAAGGGAGGCAGTAGCAGTGATTCTATCGTCATGATGCTTCTTGTAAACAAAGCAGACATTTAATGCCAAAATTTTGCCCTTCCTTGCTGAGTGGCAAGGAAGTAATTATTTTGCCTTGCTTCATAGTCCTTCACAGAGGTCATTTACTTTGGCTTTTTAGATGCATAAAATTGTGAAGGCATGCTAGAACCTAGTGTAATTAAATCCCATGCTGGCTAACGGTAACATTTAGCTCTTATGCTTTCTGTAAAGACTGAGGATTAGGCTTTGGTAAAGAACATAAGCACAGCAATCACTTATCAAGCACCTTGCTTCCTGTCCAGATCTACAGCTCTCCCAAAGGATTTGGGTCCCCTCCACAGACTCACATCCTCTTGAAGCTGAGATACTTCAGCAAAGCACTTGAGGTAAGGAGCATGGCTAGCCATAAGGGTTGAGCACTTGGCAGGGACAGACCTTTTTGGGTTAAACAGCTGTTAAGCAACGCTTGTGTGAAGAGTCTTCTGCAGGAACTGCACCAGCTTCAGCTCTGCTGCCCCCTTTCCTCATCCTCTCTAGGCCTGCAGTTTTTCAGTCATAGTTACAGCACTGCAAAGCTTCAGCAGGAGCATGGCTCTGCCTCCTCTCCCATAGTCCGCATGCAGCTGGAGCCAGAAGAAGACAAATCTGCACCCCTCGGATTCGTTGTTTTTTGGAGAAGATGGCAAAAGGGAGGAGGGGCCACACACCTTCCACCACAGGCAGGCAGCCTGAGATGAAGGCAGAAAGCCAGGCTGCCAGAAAACCAGATTCAGTTCTGTCTTGGGCCTAGGCATACTTGGTCCCACCACAGCCTAACAACTTTTCCAAACAATAGGACTGTGGGCATTTGCCTCTTGATTTCAGGGAAGAGAGGAGTAAAGAAAAACAATCATCTACCATTTCTTCCACTTGTAAAATGAGTGCATCTGGAGCATTATAGCCTGCCAGGCTATGGCTGTTCCTCACCAGGGCACGGCCACGCTGAGCGGGGGTGGGGGGGGGGGAGCAGGGAGAACCTGTCCTTAGCATGAGGCAGGAACACCACATCCTGCTGTCTGCTTCCTGCACATCCCAGCATGCTGCTCACCTTCTGGGAGTAAAGAACTCAAGTCTGATGAAATTGGGATCAGTTATCTATACCAACAATTATTTCAGGCACTTAATTCTGCTCAAGCTGCACACAGGGAGTCAAAACTTCACCTATATAGTCTCCTGTGACTATTAGCAGACAGGTAGAAGAAGGGCCAAAGTTGCAAAGCCTGACTCCACTGCTGCAAGTCCCAAAAATCCCCTTCCAAGCCCTTGTATTCACCAGGCCCGAGCTGATGAGCACAAAGGGAGCAGACAAACCACCATCAATCCCTTCCTTTATGTGAAGGAAGCAAAGGCTTTAAGCACAGAGCTGTAACACAGGAAGGGAAATCATCCCTGTTTCCAGGGCAGAATTTTCTCACTGTTCAACAATAAGAAGAATCCAAATCACAAAACATTCACGCAGGGAAAATGGAAGGGAGAGGAAAATCCCCACTATTTGGAGGTGGCTAGGGCTAGCAGTTATGAAGAACAGACAAAATTATCTTCATCTAAATTGATGTTTTCAGGTACAGAATTCATCTTTCAGCAGAACTTGCTGTAAGAATTACAGGCATGTTTAAAAGGAAAGTTCAGACATTTGCATTTCATGAGATATTTGAGTCACATTCAAAATATGCTCACAGCACAGAGGCTTCACTACCACAGTTTGGCACTTTCAGCTAGAACAGCTTCTTACTGCAGAATTTCTTGGTGCTCACGTTACTGCAGCATCCATGAATGGAAAGGACTGCTATCAAATCTAACTACAATGCTATGCTGGAATGCATATAAAGTGCTTCAGAAGCCATTCTGGTTGCCGAGCATTGGAGAGGGAGTTACAACAGCTTACCCAACAACAAACATCAGCCCTCTTACATTTCAGGAAGCAGAGTACACAGGCTTCCAAGGACTGAGAGCTTTTCTCTTCTGCTTACCAGCCACATAGAAAGCAAAACTTCTTGTTCCACAGTCAGGATAAAAACACTACCAGGAACAATTTATGAATACGTATTTACACGAGATACTTTTCATTAGAATTACAGACCTCATAGGAAATCAAAGTAGACAAAGGAATATGTGCAATTTTGCAGAAGCATTGAAAACATTCAAACTATAAATATCCTGATAGCACTACTAAAATTCTTAGTTTTACACACAGGCTGATGTTACTCTACTGAGGAAAAACTAAGGTTTTGTGCCACAACTGTAAATTAAGTACAGTAACGTATTATCATTCCGGCAACATAGGTAACACCTGCACTGAACAGTGCGATACTGTTAAATCAATCCACTGATCTATTGAAGATCAAAATACAAATCTGTATTTTTATTGATTTGGCAGCGTTGCTCATGGAGAAACAAATGCACTAGTTAAACCAGTACATTGTCATACTGCTCCAGTTACAAAAGACATCCAGGACTTTCATAGAGCTACAAACGTATCATACTTCATGATTTTTCCCCAAATGATGATATCCACGTGAAGTAAATATAGCAAAGATACTCGAGTTTGTATCCTTCATTCTGTTACACTGACAAACATACACCACCACTTAATAAATAGAAATGCAGCAGTTCATCCACATAATAGCAAATATTTTTGTACCCTAATCCACCACTGAAGTTCAGTTTATACAAAACAGTCTTTTCTACAGAGTGGAAAAAAAAATACCTTCTTCTCATCAAGGTGCAAGCTAAGCTTTGAAACTTAAATGAATGTGCTTTTATTCTTTTCATGGACAATAAAAGTTTCAAGGACCTTCTGATTTATCTGAAAATGCATAAATTTGGTCACATGTGGATTTCTTCATCGTTCAGGTTTAATGGACTATTTCAGTATCACTGACGTTGTGCTTTAACTCCTCTTGAACAGTATCATTCCAAGAGTTATGGAGATCAAATTAATTCAAATGATGACCTCAGAGTTCTAGAAACATGTGTCCTCATTGTAATACAAGACCAACCTATAGGAAGAATAGAAACGTGGCATTTTAGTTTATGTACAGCAATAAATCTAGGTATTCTTAGTTTTCTGCACTGGAATTATGGATCTTAAGTGTCCCCGATTAAAACAGCTATTTTAAAACTCTTCTCATTTTGGCCAGTAGATTAAAATATTACTATACCTAGCAGAGTTCAGAAGCTCTTTTTTAAATCCCTTACCTTTTCAGATTCCATGCCAGGACACCTCCAGTTGTATAAATAATACTGCAAATTTCCATCTCCAATCCCAAACTTGAGTTTTTCCAGGAACGTTTTGTTTTCCATCAAGTCTAGTGCATTGAACACATCAAATCCTTTCTGGCAATAGCAAAACATTTAAAAAGTTTTAATGCTTCAAGTGACGCAGAAATGAGAGTTTTCATAGTTGACACAGCAATATCCAAGAGGCTAATCAAATTAAGTTGGGAAAAAAAAGATATGGGAATAAATCTTTCTTTTTAATTAGACGCACACACAAATTTTCCCAGTGGAAAGTAATGCACAGCTTTGCTTGAAGATGATCTCTAAGAGGGTAGTTAGCAATAACCAAGACACTGGTGTGTTATCAACACTGCTTTGGCTGCAAATACAAGCACAGCTCCATATGGGCTGCCACGATGAAAGGAAACTCCATCCTAACCAGACCTGATACAAAGGTAGTGATGTGAGGTACATGTAAACAAAAAGCTGTGGTTAGGAGTGCACCTAACATTTCTCTTCTCCTGCCTCTCTTCTCCTCATCTGAAAGTCCCAGTGCCAGACCTGCAAATGTACTCAGGCACTTAATGACTGCAGACAGACCAAACAGGTACTTTGGAAATCCACAGGCAATTTAATCTCAGTATTTTCACTGCATGATGATCCATCTAAAGAAAAGCATCATGTGACACATTCTAAGAAAAACATAGATGTGGGAAGGTAGCATAGCCTTGTGGTTACACCATTCCGTGGTTTGTGACCCATTCAGTGGCCTGCTGTACGGCCAGCCACTCAACTCCCCATGCTACATTACATTTGGAGACCAACCTTTTTATCTTTCACTTGACTTTCAGAAATAGGTAGTATGCTTAGGCACTTCTGAAAACTATACTAACACCTGTATCTTCATCTTTTTCAATACCTTTGAAAGCCTGTCTTTAAACTTCCTTTGGTATTACAGTGGAGCCTGAGCAATGGGGTTCTGTATTGCCTGTGAGTACCCAAGAGATCTCTTTGCCAAATAGTTACCTGACTCAATACTGTTTATAGCTCAAACAAGCCTCAGCAAGCAGTTCATGTCACACACATTAGCTCAGCTGCAGTGCTGCATGGCTGAGAGACAGAAGATGAAGACTATGGAGCTGCTTTCATGCTGCCTGAAGTCTGAACAGATACAGCTTTCACAGTCCACAGGCTTTATAAAGGATCGGTGCAGAAATTCTTATGCCTCATCTGGAGCACAGACAGGCAGTGGCTCTGAACAGGGTCAGACAGAACACACTTAACATCTCCCTGCATTGAGCAGTCATCTGCTAGGTGTAACATCGCAGTACCTCAGCTGGCAGAGGCAAGCTTCCAGCAGGAGGAGTACAACACATGCTGTGCTCTGCACTGCGCTGGGAACTGCTGCTGCAATGGATACCATGGACTGGACGTGCAGTGCTGTTAACTGCCAGCCTAAATAGGTCTCTGAGAATGCACTCAGAGTGCTGGGACCTGCACAGCTCTGTCCACAGACTACAGCACCATGGTGTTTGTGCCATACTGCTGTGGAACCTCGATGATTAAGGGTTTAATCAGACAGCACTAAACCCTTATGATTCCTATGTCTAGAAGCTCTTCTAGTCTCTTCCCTTTCATTTAACTAAATCATGCACCAGTTATTCCACGTACAAAACAGTGCTTAAGAATTACATGACATCATCTATCTAACTTTACAGGCAGCAGTTCTTAACAAGATAAAAGTTGGAGCACAGACTTTTTAATTTTGTAGAAATGAAAAAAACAGTTCATTTAATGCATTTGTTAGAACTTGTTAACTCTTCCAAAGGAAAAGATTTTAGTGATATTTTTCATTCTTCTGGTACTGAATGAATATGGCCACCGGTGTGCTCTTGGATACTTACATAGTTAAAGCTATTGCAAATGCTCTGATCTTCATGCACTTGTCACTTGCTAACATTACTCAAAGTAAAAAGGAAAAGCAAACACAGTGTTTTATATTTCAACGTCTACTAGTCTCATCACATGCACTGTGAGCTGTGGATATTAAAAGAGAACAGAATGCAATGGAAAGCATAAATTACTGCCAGTTTTTACCTTGCCATTACTCCTGAGAATATTTTCATGAAAATAGCAGAAGGAAAAATACTTACCAACTTAGCTATTATGAGTGCATCATTCATTAAATCCAAGAGGGGGGTCTCTGTATGAATATTGTAAAAGGAATAGGCAGCTTTCAGGCTTTTATGAACAGGATGGTGCATCACTGTTGAAGGTAATGTGTAGAAACTCAGGAAGTCTGTTAAAACACCATTTGAGCCCTAAAAAATGCAAACAAAACAAACAAACAAAAATAGTCAATTAATAAATAACCACTCAGTTACTGAGTGTACAACGCAGCACAATTTTATACATCATACATTCCGTGAGAGACAGGATTGGCTGAAGAATGGAAGAAACGGAATCATTGACAAGGATGTACTGATACATCAAAGTGAGACTGCAGTCAGAAATGGTCACTTCAGAAAAGGACACAAATATTTAGATTCTTCTGCTCTCTTACACCAATAACATTTTGACAACCAACGGTCAAAGCATTTGTTTCCCAAGCTTGTCTTTCTATAAACAAAGATAACAAAACATACTTTCCTCCCAAAAATATACATATAGAAAAGTTCTCCCAACTGAACATATTTTTCTTATGATTTTTTTTAACCTGATGAGGTTCACATGGAGGAACCATTTTCTCAACTTTCTAAAAATAGAAAATAATTACTCTGCATGTATAAAAGCATATTCAGATCAGCTCTCAAGATTTTTAATCAACAAGTCCAATCCAATTGTTGCTAGACAACAGTGCTAAATTACACTGAAATTCTAATAAAACTAGTAGTCATTAAAAAAAGGTAACCAGACAATAATCCAAAATATCCTACAGAAACTTGCCTAATATTTAATGAACATAATGAAGTTTAACTATTTTCAAGAGTGCATGCAATAGGGAATAATTAACACGTGGGTCATAACTGACACGCTCAGCACAAAGAACGCCACTCAGACTTTCACTGTTCCCACTCTGATCACGTTTCATGATTCCTCCATGAAGATAAGAGTCCACAAGCACCAGAACTGTGTGTCTCCTTTGCCTTCTTTTAGTTCTGGACTTGAATTCACCAACACAGATTAAAAAAGCAACCCAGAAGATGAAAGGGTGGTGAAGAGAACGGAAGAGGAGCAATAAATCAAACCAGACCATGGAGAAGTCCAGTGAGCACTAGATCCACTGCACAGTAAGAAGAAAAGTAACTCTGGACAAGCATGACTGATGAGCAGCACCTCTTATCTCCAGCTGCACTAAGTTTCTAAATTCAGCTGAGACTCCAGAATGAATTCACACTGCAGTGTGGAAATGCTGACAACCGCTACTTGAAGCTTCTGTTAAGATGTCCTAAATTTAATAATTTCATTGCTGATCATTTGAAATAACCTCATCACTTCAAACAAAGCACTTCACTCCCTGAAAACGATGCCTGCACCTGATACAGCATGGAGCCAAGGGGAAAATCTTCCTCCACTAGCTTAATCGCAGCTACCTCCAACCACTCCTTGAGGATTTCCAATCCAGACACTACCCCACTCCTGTACTGCTTATTCACAGGTGCTGTCACAACAATTCAGGCTGAGGGGAGGAAGCAGCAGATAATCATTTAGGAACCGAAGAGAACTGAACTCCTAGCTGACAGTAATTCACCACAGCACCAACACACAAACACACACACACACACAAAATCATAAATATTCATACAGACATTCTTTAAAAATATATATATATTTTACTGAAGCAGACTATAAAAAAAAATGCATACAATTCCCACATAGCAGGTGTTGCTAAGAATTGGTTTTAATGAAGTAAAAATGTTGAACTGGCATATTGCAGAAACACATCCAACACCCGTGAGAACAAAACCGAATTCAAACCAAATCCTTTTATCAGTCATTGAATCATTTTTCTAGAAAAGCAGATTTGAAGACCATTACTTAGTATTGGACAATTGCTGTCACTTCTCCAGAGAAGTAACAGGGATCAGGGAGGCACACAGAATGTGGGAAGGTTGTTTTTGAAGATGTGTAAGCTTCTTTGACATAAAACTTCCAAAACTCTCAAATGATATTTTAAGATTTCAAAACTCTTCTTTAAAAAATTGTAAGAGCAATGCAGTTTATGACATTCAAACAAGCACTTCCTAACCATAAGAATGCAATATGAAGAACAAAACGTGGAGTCATGAGATCAGATCTCAACTGCATTTCAAAGAACTCGATGCTGATAATAATTTTTCACAAGCAGCATTCACATGCATGTTCTTGAGGTAGTTAGGGAATGTTTTACCTCTACAACAAAAGTGTCAATAATATGTTCCCGAGGCAGGAACCAATGGGCCACCTCTTCTTCATCCATCACAGGAGCAAGATTAAACTGCTTCAAGTAAGTGTTGATTAATTCTTGTACTGCTTTAGTATCTTTTTGTTCCATTGGTCTCAAACCTGAAGTTTTTGTAGCCTTATGTAAGAAAGAAAAATAAATGTTAAGATGTTGAAAGGAAAACTGCATACACAGCAAGGTCTGGAAATAGGCTGCACAATCATTCCACTTGCTCTAATGCATTCATTATTAGCCTACTTTACCCTAGCCACCTAATTCATTATGCTACTTTACAGACTGCTTTCAATCAGAATTCCCCCTCTTCTAATTACTGAGACAGTCTGGGGCACTTCAGTCTCTTCAGTCTTAATATTCCAATATTGAAGCAACTTCATTTCTCCAGAGAAGGAGATGCTACTGCCAACAGCCCAGGCTTCACACATTTGAATTCCAATTTTTTCTTTTTTGCAGGTCCATCAGTATTTATCTTCTTCTAAACTACACGGAGCCCAGGGACAGAAATAAAACACGAAACAACTTACACATCAGAAGCTAACCTGAAGGTAAGAACCCCTGTGATTCAAATTTAAAAATATTAGTCAAGCTATGAACCAAAGTCAAATGATAATGCTTAATTAGAAATCTTCTAACACAAAATTCCACCTGTTCTTAATGCTTGTAAGCTTGCTTTTGCCAACTCAAATTTCTATATACACCCAACCACAATTTACCAGGAAAGCTTCTCATAACTTCAAGCTTTCCGAAATTAAAAAGTTACGGTATTTTAACAAATTCTGCAGTTTACTTGAATGTAAACACTGGAAGAGGAAAAACTGCTTTCTGGTACTATGTGATTAACTTTTAAATGAGCAAAGGTGGCTAAAGTTTTCTCCCCAGTTTTTATTAGCTTTCTTGACTATTTCCATTCAGGAAGAGAAAGCCTCGTTCTCCTTCAGAGCTTGTTTATCCTGCTTCATCTGTCACAGCCACATAGTTGGGCATGTACCACATTAATCATAGCAAAGTCAACTGCAAGAGCAGCCAGGTAGTGACTTGATTACTGGAAGCCTGAAATTAGTGCAGCTGATTACATCCCACTTAAAAAGGAGTTATTCTGGGGGAGGTTTTTATTCACATGCTCTGGGATTCAGCAGCTAGATGAAAAATTAAGGCAAATTTTGCCACAGTCCCATATTGGGTTTAGTCTAACTGCTTTCCTGAGATGGTGTTGTGACAGCACATCACCTTCTCAAGAATTTTAAGTGCTCTGAATCCATAAGGAGAATTACCCTTTTATATACTGTATTTTGTTCATAACCTCCTTATGAACAACAACATGAAAGATTAATCTCTGCTCCCCCCCCCCCAAGCCTTTGTCTTCTAAAGCTATACACTGGAGCATGAAGGGACAAAAAGCAGTTGGGCTGGAACATCTTTAGAAGCATTTAGAATGGCCAGCTTAAGTGATTATTTACAACTGCAGAAGTGGAGAAGAACTTTCAGAATAGGGCTAAATTGTATTTCTCTGCTCCAAACATTGAGCTGCCTTGGGCATATTCCCTCATGAGTATTCTAGCTCAGGAGCTCAGTCAGAGATATACAAACACACTCCTGTCCTTATTCAAAACACAGCCAAATTTTCTCCCTTTCAGAAAACTCCTTGCTTAACAGACTGAATACCACCTCCACCTACTTTTTTAATGTACCTGTAGGTTTATGCACAAACAGTCTTCAATTAGGGTGATGCTTCAATGATGAAATTACTGTATTTCCTCTATTATTTCAGAAAACCTTTCCAGTTCCCACTTTTTGTGATTAGGATTGATTAATTCCTATTAAAGGGAGATAAGCTCCCAGTGGCAATGATATTTCAAGGACTCTAGGAAAAGAGGTTAGAATGCAAGAAACACTGGTGCTGAGGGACATTAAAGTGGTGGTTAGGAATTCAGAAAGCTTTTATTTTAGGACACTTTGTCCAGAATGAACCAATTTGTCTGACATAACTGTTTATAATAACAACCTTAGATTGAAAATACAGATTTGCAAAAGCACTTAGACCTTTCCACAGGAAAAGAAACTCTGCAGAACCCAAAGCACAAAAACTAAGCAATAAACATTAACAAAAATGTCAAAGCTAGGTTGGATAGGGCCCCGGCAACCTGATCTAGTGCCTGATTTACTGGTTGTCAAGCCTGCCCACAGCAGGGGGGCTTTAAGGTTCCTTCCAACTCATTCTGTGATTCTATGAAAAAGATACATCTTTATTTTCCATAGAAGAATCTCCCAAGTTCTATATAGAAGTAACCAAACAACTGAGGTATAAGGAGTCCTAAAGCCCTTGGATTATGGCTGACCTTCGTACGATCCTTATCTTATTCTTTAAGCTATTCTTACCCTGTATTGTTTCCATGAGAAACAGTACTGATGTTGCTACTGAAACCTATATTTGAAATTGTCTATGGGACATTTTAGACTTTTAAAAACATCTTCAGATTTGATGAAAGCTATATTTAGTTCTCCAAGATTAAAACCTAATTAATACAGTTATTAATTTGTAAGCTCTGAAAACTGCTGCCCTGCACACAAGGGAGAACCCACACATGCAGGCATAGGTAGCACGTGGGCAACACAGGAAATGAGTCCCACTGACAGCAGCAGGAGTTGAGATCAAGCCATGGCACGTGCTTCATACTGAGGAGTGCTTAATGTATTACTCACAGGGGCCAGTAACAACAGAGCCTGCAGCATCAAGCTAAATATAAACAAACAATTCTCCAAAGGCAGATAAATCATTACAAAGTACATTGTAAGTACAAAAAAGTACTTTTTTTTTTCCTTTAAGCCTAAAAGGAGGGTTTGTTTACATCAAAAAGGTTTACTTGATATGGCGCTGGTCCAAAGGATAGTCTGCAAATCCCTCCAAATAGAAAGGTAGCTTCTACAAGCAAAGAAATTGCTTTCAATCATATAGCTTAGGCTGGTTTCTGTAGGTTATTACAGCAATGAGATTTTTCAATAGTTCATCTCAGACTATTTACAGTGACTTCTCCTGTCAAGGAAATACATGTGAAGGCTTTTTGCCAGACTAGCTATTAGCAGAAATATGGAAAAAATATTTTTAACTAACCTAGCTATGCCAGAACACTTTTTTTTTGGCCACATCATGCAAATAACACAATATTCAAGGCAGCCTTTGCTGAGCCTGCTCATTGCACAGGAACAACTTTCTCTGACAATCAAGAAACAGCTGTGACTTGGAGTAGAACCAACCAATCCCAGCTGTACTCAACTAACTTTCTAGAGGACTTTTCTAAGAATTTTAAAATGTTAGCTGTTAATTTTCTACTGCAGTAATTTTTATCAGATTAATTATACCTAGAATCATCTTATGCACCTTCAACTCAATCCCATGTGTTTATGAAGTCAAGGTTTCTGTGTGTATTTACTTGTGTTTTTTTTAATTTTTTTGTTTTGTTTTGTTTTTTTTTTAAAACTTTTGAGTCCACATTTGTATTTTCTCCACACATAAACCTACACTTCCAGGAATAGTCTCTTCTGTTTAGTATAGACCCTTATTTCTGCTTGGTAGAAAAGATTCTGTTTTTCCATGTTCTGCAGGCACAAAAGCCTGAGCTGTCAGAGACAGATGGAAGGTTATTTTGGGCCTCCCAATAACTGTGGGGATTCTCTAGAAGACATACTGCTTACATCAGGAAGTCTGTAGAGCTTCATCGTTCTTTGTAGAGTCATGTTTCTACTCAAGTGTGAGAATTTCACCTCCACCAATTTTCTGGGATTCAGTGATCGATGCCAATACCTGGAGATAAAATGCATGAGATTAGATAGTGTTTCAAGCGTCAGCTTTACCTGCATCCATTTCTCTAATTTCTTGCTCTTCTCTTCCTCTACAAATTTATTTCCTAGCCAGCCTTTACTGACCTGATGTCTGTAGGCGGTTTGAACAACAAACAAAAACAATCAACAAAAAAGGAAAGCTACACTTAAGCAACAGCTGTTAAACAAGCCTGCAATCACCACATTTTGGATCTAATCTCCTTTGGAATGAGTAACCCCAGGGTTAGACATTCCAGTACCTGCCATATCCCCACCAATCTTCTCATGCTTACAAGGTAACATTTATTTTATTGATTAGTTTTCAAAGCTTAAAAACAGAGGTCCCTCTTTACTCAGTCACTGAGCAGTTTGGTGAAGGCTCTCTTCCCTGCAGACCATAGTGCAACAGAACGTCCCTGGTTACTCTAACACAGAACGGCTTTTTTTCCATCCTTACCTACAGAAGGTTACAGAATCTCTGGTGTTGATACGTATGAACAAAATTTAAACCCAAAGGCTCATACATGAGTATTCTGTCCTCAGAAGGATACCACTGAAACAGAACATTTCCCAGCAGAAATAAAATCTCCTCCAAGCAAATGAAATCATACTTTACAACATACAACTATTTTCATGTGACAGTTTTCCCATTTTTATCAAATTCCTTTCTCCACGAAAGATGAAAGCATTGATAAAAGCAGATCACACAATTCCCAGAAATGCTCTGCCATCTTTGGCAAGCAACCAGATCAACAGGGAAGCATCTCAGCAGGGAAACAGGCCACTTGATAAACACAGGTATACAATGCTGCCATTGCTAGCATGGCTTTCACCAGAAGGTCAACAGAAACATTATTAATCTATTCAAGGTACAATAAACACACTCAGTATTAGATTTCACTCTGAAAAGATATTAAGAAGTAGAGGAGGATGGATGAATGGATGGGGGAGAGTCTGTAGTTGGCCTGCAGTTTTAACTGCTATAGTTTGCTATCAGTAGGCAATAATTATATTAATCTCCTTATGCTGAGTCTGTTTTGTCTATGAGAGTAATTAATGAGGGATCTCCCTGTTTTTTTATTTCAACCCATGTGTTTTTTTCCATCATATTTTCTCTCCCTGTCTTTTTGGGAAGGGAGAGTGAGAAAGCAGCATGGCAATGCAGAGCTACCTACCATTGCAAAATTACCACAGTAGGCAATTACACAGCATGCACTTAGAATGACTACTACAGGAACCAATCTTATTGGGAACATCACCTAGGTTACCTGCAAGTGGCCACAGGTTTGGGGAGCACCACTCCAGCAGTGTAAACAGCCTGAAAAATCCCTTCCAGGTTTACTCTTCTGGTTATTTCCCGAATCAGTACAGGTGCCACCCGCTTAGATCTCAGTTTCTTGTGAACACACAGAAAATTGATTTCTACCATCTTCTTCACACTAAAAGGACATTATAGAGAGAAAATAAATTAAAAAAAAACCCATACTACTGACAGAAACAAACAGCATGCTGCATATTCTCAATTACTTAATATTAGTTTTCCATATCGTAATAGAAGAACTTGATGTACAGATAAATCAGCCTGTGTCAAATTATGACTGCAACAAATATTAATCTGATAATGTGACACGAGTGGAAAACTGTATGTTATGCAAAGCAGCATCCAAGCTGTTTGCAGAACTCCATTCCCTAAAAAAATTTTAATGAGCCTCTTTGTAAGTTCTCCACAGTAGTGGATGCCAGCTTTAAGATTTGTGTCCTGCCACTTAAAAATTTTATTTTTTACAAATATGAAAGTAATGGTGTGTTTTACCTGTCGTAAATACGAATATTTGCAGGGATGGCACTTATGAATCCTACCAGCTTTTTGTTTGAAGACACTCTAACCCCACAGTGCCACTGCGGTAACCAGCCCGGAGGACGCAGAGCCCTAGAAGCGATGACAGAAATAATTACAAATTACTGCCTGAGAAGATGTAATAAAAACACCTTCCTTTGCACTCCAGCCAGAACAGAATGTAGCACTTGCCACTCACCACAGAAGAAATTCAGGGGAATAATCAAACCTAAACATATTGTCATCATCTTCTACATAATTCTCATTTAACAGTGTGTATAACTCCTTCAGCTGAAAACAAAAAAAAGAAAAGCAAAAGGCTTATCCACACACATCAAGCAGAATATATTTCAGTGATTTTAGGTACATATAATAAATGTGTTACTTACAACTTCAGCATTGCTAAGATCCAACGTGTCCCACATAAAACCTTGTGGCAAAGAATATGGCTCTAGGCGGACATTGTCCTTATCTGGCTCAATTGCACCATGAGAAGTTATGACTTCGTCTTTTGAAGGAGGAAAAAGCAAGGGAGGAGAAGAAGAAAAAAAAAGAACAGTTACACTGCTAGCTTCCCCATTAACTCTCAAGAACTTCTCAGTTCTTATAACCCGCATTCAGATTAACTACTAACTTCATCACAGTTTCTACAGCCAGCCATAGAACTACTCCATCCAGTATTTCATAATAGGGGACACCAGTTTATCAGCACACACATGGTGCTTGGCCAGCTATGAAATCCATGGTTTCATCATGAGAAACGTACTGACAGCTAAGGAGCGACGGATCCTGTTTACAACTGCCTTGAACGGGTCTGAGCTCAGCAGTACTTGTAAGGACCAGCAGTACTGCAAAGCCAGGGCTTGTAAAGAATGCCGGAAGAATAGGATTAAAAAATCTTAAAATCCTACATGAAAGGGTATTTCTCCTACCTTAACGTACAACTCTAGTTCATCAGAATATAACAGTAGGCTTAAAAAGAAATTGCTCCTCTCATATGGAGTGTCACCTACCAAACATGGTACATACTTTTCCCAAGTAATGCCCAATCCTGACAAGTAGTTAAGGCTCGCTGTCTCATGTGGAAGGTCAGAACTACCAGCATCTTCACATAAATTTTGGAAGTATCAGCTGTCTCACTATAAAGCAGACAAACTAGTATTATACAATAACGGATCTCTTGCTAACAGTCTTAATTATAAGGCAGATGGATTCTGAAGTTAATTTAATGCCAAGATTCCTACAGCTACTTCTTGAATCAACAGATTCTTTTTCCATCTGAATGTAACCTGTGTATCAAACAATGAAGACTTGCCATCACATTCATTCAGCAGATTAAGCTAAAAAAGATAATAAAATTCAACAACAGAATCAAGAAGCAATTCAAAAAGACTGCTGAACAGAACCTCTGCCAGCCTAATTCAGCAAAGTGTATTTCTACTCAACAGCCCTAACAAACCATCCTTAGAGTGGAGAGCACTCTGCTCTGGACTTCTCCATGCAAGGAAGTCGGAGAAAACACAGTCTGAGCTACAGACCTGGATTAATGTGAAACATTGCCCTTTGGTCAGATGGAGAAAAGTGTTCCTGTGCTTTACACTCAACTGATTTTTGCCTATTCTACACCGGCCACCAATGCCATGGAGACAAACTTTCAGAACAGAATGACAGCTCCTGCTTTACTTGCGGGGCCCCCAAGTTTCTTTGGGGCAAAAGAGATAGAACAGCTTGACTTGAAAAAAGTGAAAGGAGAAGACAAAATAAGTCAGGAAAAACAAAACAAAAAACAACAACAAAACCCAAGAGTAAGCAGCTGTCTTCTCCAAAAGGGACTCAGAAAATATGTTTCCAATGTAGTGCACGTTGCGGAAGAAACAGATGAACAAAGAACAGTGGAAGAGTTCAGGCACAAGGGAGGCATCACTAACCACTTCAAGCTGCATGGAAACACTGTGACCTGCACCAGGAGAGTCACCATCACTATGACTGCAAATTGATCTATGACACACATCCCTTCCTTCCTTTCCACCCCCCCCCCCTCCAAAAAAAAAAAAAAACAAACAGGGAAAATAAATTGAACAAAAGTTCGTTCCCATCACCACTTGATAGATTTTTTTATTTGCCCTGAAGTGTTTGTTCTCTTTGTGTTCTGTTGTTTAAGAGTTCAGACCTAAAACATATAAAGGAACATTACTGCAGTAGCATTTTTGTAGAGAACACCAGAATGAGATTCATCAACACTGTGTTTTGTTGCATATTATTTTGAAGGGCAATGACTCACCTAAAGAATATCAATAATTCCACATAAACAACACAAAAGATTCAGGAACTCACATGCAGTCCAACCTAACACCCACTTTAAAAACTGGTATACACTCTTTCAAGATCACACGCCCAAGCCCAGTTCAACTTACTAAGTTTTGGTACAGGTTGTGTATCCCAAAACTGGTATTTACGTTTGGTAGCCTCATCAATGTTCTTTGCTGGACCTTGGCATGCAGAGAGCAACTCCATTGCTCTCTGGATATCTTGAAGCTTCTGCATTGGAATGGCTGGATTCTGCACATGGAGACAGACAGAATAGGGTAAGATTACTTTGGACATGCTGTTCGTTTAGAACACTGTACAAATGCGGGCATTTGCTTTACTCTTTTGTATTCTTTCATAAGCTCTTCTTACCACGGTCACTTTTGGTATTATCTTCAGCAGCAGGAGGAGGGAAGGAGAGGTGCGAAGGAGACAAGCAGCTTCACAAAACACTTAGCAACTTTGAGTAGTTTTTGCATTTGACTGTGAAAATTCAGTGCTGGTACCACATATAGCTGCAGCATTAGGCCACGATGCCAGTACCACAATAAAATCTTATTTCTCTCCCAATAGTAAAATAGAATAAACAGCAAAAAGCAGATCAGCTTTGATATCTAACAATCTAAAGACACTACACAGTGATATTTGAAGTTATTCCTCATATATATTCGATTAAAAATCACTTAAGATCAGTATGGCTCAATATTTCAGTTGCGCTGTTGTTGTAAATATCCACATTACAACCTTAGTTATGTTGGATCTGCCTTCTATTAGGTACTGAATTTTATAGTAGGCAGCTTACTGCATTGCATAACATATAGAAGTTCACCATTTTACCACTACTACCAACACTCATAACGTAAGACAACTTTATGTTATAGAAGCAGATGTAAAATAAATTAATATTCCACTTAAAAGTGGAAAAATCTTATTGAGAGTTATCTGAAAAACAAAAGCCTAAGGCTCGGCATTTCTGATCTGAGCTCCTAAACTCTGACTTCTGAGCATTCTGAGTAAGCGTAACTACAATGAGAGTTTTACCTGCACATGAAATTGCAGAGGAATAATGTTAACAGACTTCTAACTGTAAAGGAACTTATCCCTCCCTCCATCCCTCCCTCTCTTCCTTCTCTCTCTTTTTAGAACCATCTCCCAAGCGACAAGTTGAGCATACTAGCAGCATGCTTATGCTCAGGTTTTCCCAGACTTTGCAGTGGAATAAATATACCTGATGGAACAGTCTCAAATGGATTGAAAAACGTTACATATTTCTGGATAAAGATTTGAAGCCTGATGTTTTCTTGCTGAACATCAATGCTATTTCAGTATTTCATTTTCTGACTAGGATTTGTGTTGAAAAACCACCATAATCTACGTGTAATAATGAAGTTCAAGCTTGATTTGGATAGGAAACTGCCTTCAGTGCCCTCAGTCACCTAAGAAGTAGCACTGCAATGGCCTGTAGCTTATGCAGGCCATCATTTTCTACTTATAATAAAAACATGTGCTCTCTAAATGTTATGCAATTTCTTTCATTAATTTAAATGTGGTTAACTTTGGCCTGTGAGCACGCTTTAACACCCATCATCTGAATAATTGTCAACTAGCATATTTACACACTTCCATGTAGTTCAACAAACTAAATCAATGCCACTGAAGCATAAAAATCCTACTGCATTCTCCAATCCAAGTTATAGTGATGTAGAGTGCTTTTGTTAAGTAAAAAATCGATTTGACAATTTCCTGCTGGCCTGATACAAACACTTTAACTCTGCTAGATAAATTCTAAACTCTTATCAGCAGATTAAGTAATCACACATCAATGCTGATTTATTCAGTATGTTTTAGATATTTTAAGTCTAATCTTTTTGTAGATTAAGGAGAAAATGATCTAAAAAAGTTACTAAATTCTAAAAGGATCATAGAACGGCTTGGGTTGGAAAGGACCCAAAGGATCAAGTTTCAACCCCCCAGATCTGGCACTAGACCAGGCTGCCCAGGGCTCCATCCAACCCGGCTTTGACCACCTCCAGGGATGGGGCATCCATAGCCTTTCTGGGCAGTCTGTTCCAGCACCTCACTTCACCGCTCTCTCTGTGAAGAACTTCTCCCTGACATCCAATTTAAACCTTCCCTTCTTGAGCATAAAACCATTCTTCTTTGTCCTATCACTGTCTACCCTTGTAAAAGGTGATTCCCCTCCTTTTTTATAATCCCTTTTGAAATACTGGAAGGCTGCAATGAGGTCTCCTCTCAGCTTTCTCTTCTCCAGGCTGAACAAGCCCAGCTCCCCCAGCCTGTCTTCCTGGGGAAGGTGCTCCAGCCCTCTGAGCATCTCTGTGGCCCTCCTCTGGAGCCCCTCCAATAGCTCCACATCCTTCCTGTACTGGGGGCCCCAGACCTGGATGCAATACTCCAGGATGTTAACTAGCACTGGGAAGTAAAAGTTTGTGTTCTGTACTAAGCACAACGTGGGTTGAGACATCTGGAGAAATCTCCTTTCCTCTCAAGAAGTTGAGAGGAAATCCTTTTGGTTTCCTTTAATGGAAGGCAAGAAAAGCATTCCCAGCGTTTCAACACAAATGAGAAAGAAGAGTAATTTTAATTCCAGTGTGAGGAAAACATCTCCTCTCAGCACAAGAAAGCACTATAAAGTAGTGTAGTGCAATGGAGCTGAGGTACGCTCCAGTTTTTGCCCCAGTTTTAGTGACAGGACCTAACTTGAGATCTTCTGTGTCTTGGCCCTGTGGCAGAGCCCAAGTTTCTCCCTACCTAGAACTGAAGAGTGAGTTAGGGACCCTTCAGTGCGGGTTATTTAGCACAAGCCTGTGACGATAAGCAGGATGCACCTGAGGGTGCTTCAGCAGCTGGCTGGTATTATTGTAAGATCATTCTCTATTAAGCTTGAAAGATTACAGCAAATGCAGCAAAGCCCACACAATGGCAGAGGCCAGCACTGACCGGCTAGGATGCAGCTTTGCAGAACCTGGGAGGCCCTGGTGGGCAGAACCGAACGTGAACCAACAGTCTGTTCTCACAGCAAAAAAGCCAACTGCATACTGGGTTGTACCAACAAGAGCCTTCCCCTTTATCTCCCACCCTTGAGACCGTAACAGTTTAGGGTTTCCCATTACAGGGAAACCACTGATGTAGCACAGCGAATTCAATAGAGAGCCACCAAGACCAAGGAGGGGTCTGAAGCACATGAATGCAACCCTCAAGAAGGCGGCTGAACAAAGGCTAAGAGAGTGGGAAATCTTATTGCTGCCTAATTGGAGGATGTAAGGAAGACAGAGTCAAGCCTTTGCAGATGGACACAATTGAAAAAGATCAAGTTCCATTTTAGATATAAGGATTTATTAATAATAATATTAACCACAGGGATGATCAAACAGTGGAAGTGGCTGCCCCCAAAGGCTGTAGAATCTCCATCCTTGGAGTCCATACAAACCCATCTGTGCCTGAACAACCTCACCTAATTGGATTTGCACTAAGCAGGAGGGCTGAAGATCTCCAGAGGTCCCTTTCAAGCTAAATTATTTTATGACTGAATGCTGTGCAGGTCACTGGTGACTACAAATCACTGACAGTACCAGAGATCCGGCCAGTTCACTTGAGCCAGTGTGGGAATTCTACATCCCTGGGGCTAATACTGAGAACAGACTCTGCAAAGTCTCTTAAGCACGCAGCTAACATGCATTTATTGCTGTGGTGACACTCATGCCAGTGCTCAAGAGGTCCAGCATCACAGATGAGAGAGGAAGAAGCAGAGGAGACTCACTCTTCTGCTTTTCTCATCTGCTGATTGGTACACCAGTTTACAGACTCAGCTCATCTCAAAATTCTTTTTCAAAATAACTGTCAATGAGTTCAGAAGCCCTGCTGAATATTACCTGAGGATCTTGTGTATATTCTCCTAGAGACCAAGTATAAGACATCACTTTCCTCTGAAATATTTTGCAGAGCTCCTTTCAACAAACAGCAAGCAAACGCTAAGTATGCTTTTTTCATCCTTCACATAGTACAAGGAACATAAAATCTAAGTATCACTAGAATACTTAAAAATGTATTTCTTCACCCTGACCAACCAGCAGTCTAAGATGCTTTTGAAAAAAAATCTGAAACACCGAAGCTGTCCAAGACAGAGAAACCTGTCTACTAATGAGGTTGCTACACCTGAAACAATGAACAGAAAGGGGAACAAACCAACACTGGTGCATCTGCAAGAACAGAAAAGAGGCAACTCTGTAAGGGCAGTAATACGGCTTAGTTATGGTACAGCATGAGACATCCCTTGTGTGCCTACAAAACAAAGCTTTAATAATTCTAACAAACTTGCTAAACTTGTTGTGTTAGTGAAATATCACTACATGCATCACTGTAACAAGGATAAGTTCCCACGTTTGCAAACTACAATGCGTGTTACAGAAACTGTGTGCAAAACTGCAAGGTGCTGAGGACTAGTGCCCTGCAGATGCAATGAAGCAGATTCCTTTTAATGCAACAATAAATCTGGTCAGCAGGGGATCTAGGAACTCTCACAATACCACAACAATGAATTATATATTAAAACTGACCCCGCTCCCACTAGGAAAGAGTGTAAGATTACTTGGCTGTTGCTTGCAGTCTTCTTGCATGAGCAATTCATGCCACATACTTCATACAAAAACAACATCAAAACATGCAGTGAGACAAGAGACTATATAACATCACTCCACAAATACATAAGCGTCCCATGTGGGAAATGTATCCACTCAAAGCAATGGGTATGACACAGAGGAGATCCAGAGGGACAACACAAAATCCATCTGTTAGATAACAAACCAGAGCACAACTTCTTCCCAAAAATTAGTTGGTAAAATATCAACATAAGTGACAAGTCTTACTGGTACAGTTAGCGTAACTTCTTTCACATTAATCTGATAAAGCAAACCTAACTGCATCAACATGCTCAGTAGCCCATGAACTTTCATATCACCATGTTATAAACCTCAGTTCTCAGGCTCAGATTTCACTGGAGATATGATAAAAAGCCACCAATGCACATTACTAACTTACTTTAACTGAACTTGGTAGTCAAAAGTATGCAGAAAAGCCCACAGAGGCTGCATATCCCCTCAAGTAACTGTGCAAACTTACTTACAGTGCAGACCTTTCAGATGGCAAAAAGTTTTTTCAGTCTGTATCTCCATGTTAGAGATTACTGCATTTTGTGCAAGATGGTATGTTGCTACTTTGCCCAAATAAGGCTGGTTAACAAAGCACGTTCACTTCAATTAGATTTTGCTGAAGACTGGACTGGCCTGGCTGAGCATAAGATTTTAGCTATCTGTGTGTATGTGTCAGTGTAAAATGCTATAGAACAGCACAGGAAGCATACAGTCAGCATGAGCTTTCTTGTCCATTCCTCCTTCTGATGCTTGCAAGAGATAGCAGTATGCTGTCCATGTAACTGCAGCTGCACTAAACATTGTTAGGTGGCAACTAAAGGCAACTCTTCAAATGCAAAATGTTCTTAAATCATTACCAGTGCAGATTAAGGCTCTCTGCTACAAAGCCTGAATTCTGACTGCTGTGAAACAACACTGTGGTTAAAAACCGCTGTGGTTACAACTCTCTGGCTAACTTCATGCAGTCGGCCAACATCAAGACTTACCTCCCTTCTGAAGAGAGTTGCCTTAATTCAGGTGCATTAAGGCAGTAACACCAGCTCTCTTTTACAAAAATCAACACACAGATTAAAAAATTGAAACAGAAAGCACACACAAACTGAAACAGGACAAGGCTCTCACTTTTGAAGGCTGCTGAATTTTAATCTCTTGAGAGTCAGATGCAGAATCTGATTTGGTGCCTCCAGAATTTGGCTTCTCCTTTTTTCTCTTCTGTTTCTTCTTCTTCTTCTTTGCTCCCAAATCCCCTCCAGGACTTCTGCCAGAAATTCAGAGAATGTGCAATGAGAAAAATCAATACCACGAAACTTAAAATTCATAAAGATTAAATAAGGAAAAATCAGCAGTGTTATGAGAAAAATCTAACAGTAGTTTGAATTTACAGCCAAGGCAGGGGAAAGGAAGTGGGGGGAACCGAGAATGTATTCACCAAAAGCTTCCTGCAAGCGCCTCCTCATTTGTTTGACACTCAGAACCCAGCACAAGCAGGCATTTTGACACAGCAGTGCGAAACTGCGATACACTGCAAGTGCCTCAGCTCAAACATGAAACGACCATTCCCACGTGCAGGCAGGAGACTCACCAGCCTAATGAACTGTTTTCTCAGAAAGCAGCAACTCATACAGAAAAATTGGGCCAAAGACTTCAAGCAAGAAAGGTGCATTAAAGTGTTGTCTACAGCAGAGCAAGAGTTCTCCGACGCTTCTACAAGCGGTTGCTGGAGGGACAGATAAAAGTCCCAAGACCCTGTAACCACAAATTCCATCTGCCGTGTTTCAAGGACAGTTAACTCTGGGTTGGGATGGAATTTCCTGGGGAGACGAAGACATTTAGAAACACAAATTCAACTGAGCTTGGAGGAATACAGGAAAGTGCAGGAACCAAGGAAGGCGTCCCCCTCCAAAACTGGCTAACTGGTGATGGCCCAATATTTGTCCTCCATGATGTTCAGCCATCGGGGACAGCTGAATTGGTTTTGACTGGATTCTTATCATTCTGTTTTCAGGAAATTTTATTTCTAATTGAAGCAGTGATGAAAATCTTAGTGAAATCTCATTAAGAATCACCACAAAACGACCCAAATATTTGTGCTTTAAAACGATCAGTACAACAAAGCGTACAATGTGCTTGCAGATTCTGACATATTTCAACTATTGATAACACAATTCCTGTTTTCTTAAAGGAGATTTTAATTTAGCAACTAATCGAGATATAGAATCAAGATCAGATTAGAATTTGCAAAGTGTGGGAGGTGTTGGCAACTCTCAGACGGAAAGCAAAGGAAGGAATGAGTCAGTTAGCATGAAGCCTCTTCAGGAGGTTTATCTCCCAGCAAAGCCATGAACATACCAAGGTGTCCAATACAGACGTTAGGGTTTGGGGGGGAGTTGGGCATTTTTCAGTGGAAAAGAAAAAAGTCAAGGAAACAATTCTGGGGGAAAAAAAAAGAAAAAAAAAGTTGCTACACTGGCAAACCAACTCAGAAGAACATTAACAAATTTATTCAGGCCCATACGTTTGCAAGGGCCATGGTTTTTGCTCTAAGACCATACTGCCCTGCCTCAACAGCAAAAAACCTTGCCAGAACTCATGTCAGCATGAAAGTACCAAATTTTCAATTTGGAAGCCAAAAGCCTGCTATTAATCAAGCATTCAACTAAACAGGGACTCACTCTATGGCATCATTGCTTTTCTCTAAGAAAAATCAACCCTGACAAGAGCTTACCATTCCCAGTTACACCAGACTAAGTCACACTCCCAGTGAGTTGAGAACTGGAAATTCAAGATTTGGGATCAACCCCCAGGAGTTGCACAGAGGACAGCAGAGTAACAGATCAGCACAGAAGGGAGAACTTGGAGTATTCACCAGAGCTCTGCCGAAGAAAAGACTGAGCTGTGAAGCTGGGCAGGCAGAGCGCTTTCTGAACACACTGACAGTACTGCTGGATCACTTATGTGATTCTATTAGCAGTTCCTAAACTCTCACTTTCAAATAAACACGTTTAAATCTTACTGAAGGCCTGTATACCAAGCTAACATTTGTGCAGAATCTAAACAAAGAACAGACCTAGATCAAAAAATCATAGAATGGGTTGGGTTAGAAGGGACTTCTAGGAGCACCAAGTTCCCACCCCCTGCCACAGACAGGGCTGCCAGCCACTAAGTACGTACCAGATCAGACTGCCCATGGCCTCATCCAACCCAGCCTTAAACACCTCCAGGGATGGGGCATCCACAGCCCCTGTGGGCAATGTTTGCCAGCACCACTCCACACAGTAAAAACAACTTCCTCCTGATACCGAATCTAAATCCCCCCTCCATTCACCCTTGCCCTATCACTATCTACCCATGTAAAAAGCTGATTTCCCTCATGTTTATAAATTCCCTTTAGATGTCTGACAAGAGGTTATAAATATGAGAACGCAGAAAAACAAACAAACAAACAAACAACAAAACAAAGACAAGAATCCAGGACTTCCTCATCTCTGGCACTGTTGAAACAAATGTCAGAGAAAGTGAGATTTTCACCTTTGCTAAGACGCGTTTAACAAGGTACTGCTTCATTTTCTTGAACTTAAACTTTTCCTAAACTTACACCTTTTCCTGTAGCATGACAAACACCAGAAAGATGCCATCCTGTGTCCCTGAGCTGACCCCACTTCACACCAAGGCGCTGCCCCAACCTCTGCTCCCCAGCAGCTCATCCTGCATCAGGAGCTGCCCACTCACAGCACAGGGCTCCTGCTCACTCCAGGGTCAATGTGCTATTTAGTTTGGTGAAAGAACTAGTGAGTACTAGAAAAAAAAAAAAAAAAAAAAAAAAAAAAAAGGGGTTGGCAGCTGTGTAGAAAAAAAGCAGCTTTGCCAAGCTTAATTACCATTACCCAGTTCAACTGCACTTTTACCAGGATAATCGCAGTTTGTTCTTCAACCAGCTAAAGGTTTTTTTCCATATAGAAATGCATACATTTTTTTTTTAGCTGTGAAAGAGAGAAGACAGAACCAAGCTGCTATGGAGGCTGGACAGTATTTAAAACCACTCATTTCTTAACTCTGCTTGAGGCTGGGGAGAGTGAACAGGAAGAAGTGTTTGAAAACTTCTTGAATAATCTCCCTCTCCTCTTTCTCCTACAATTTCTGCACCTTCACAAATCCCTGTCCTCAGCTTCTGGCTTTTGGCTACAGAACTTTCATGCTGCCTCTCACAACATAAACATTTGCACCTACGTTTGACAGGTTACTGGAGCCGTTCAGGGCAATTATTTTTATACAGTTTGCTGCTTAGGGTTGGTCTCATCGCTGTCACAGCCAACAGAAGGTTAAAGCTGAATGCAAAGCAAAATCCCCATATCCTTCACCTCCCCGGGCACGCATGCAGCTGAGGTCTGGCAGCAGGCAGTGCACAGAAACTTGGGTCAAACCAACACGCTCAACCAGCCAGAGACACCAAGTGAACTGGGGCAAAAGCAAAGCACCATACTGGTGGTCCTATTCAGCCTTAGCCTTAGAAAGAGCTGAAAAGTCTTAAAGCTGGGAGAAAGAAGGTCTGAGAAGGGAGGAACCTTGTTGCTCTATATTCAGTAATTACACTGGACATAATAGCACAAAGGAGATGCAAAGGTAACAAGATTATTAGTGAAGACTCCTACTAAAAGCTATTAAAACATTCTTATGTGCTAAGATCTGAGTTCTCGTCTGCTTGGACACACCTGTATGGTGTGAAACATGTCTCACTCTTAATAGCTGGAAAAAATGACTCCCACAGCTCAACGGAAGCTGACCTTCACATCTGAAACAGTGCTGTCAACCAGCACAGGCAGGAGGATGAGGACCTGCAGCTAATTGTGATGCTGCCCCAAGCAGCTCAGCCCCAGTGGGAATGCTGCTCTGTCAGCCCAGGGCCTGGCAGAGCTGTGCCCAGCCCACAAGCACTCTGCTGACAGGAGGATGGGCCACCTGGTCTGTGGTACTTAACTGCACCCACCATGCTGGTCTGACAGAAAGGAAAGCAGAGAGAGAGGCCAAGTAACGTGTGATCCAACTGCAGCCTAGGCATAAGAGGAGTCAAGACCCCCTTCTGCCCCAAAAGCACTAAAGGTTTGGCCTTGCTGCAGGAGCAGGCGACAGGAAAGTTACTCAGGCACACATTTTCATCATTTCGTTACATGTATAAGCCCGTGATCCCACCCACATACCTTTCCACTTATGTACACACATCTGGTGTTTCATATAGATGTGAAGAAAGAATTGTGCCTCTCTCAGCGTGTGGGTTTTTAACTGAGCCCCTGTGGGGCGAGGCAGGGAGCACAGTGCGGAGCTCTGAGCGGAACAGGCAGCGCTCAGATGGAACGAGCCGGGCCAGCACAGCCTCAGCGGCCAGGTGCTCACACCGCTCTGCCCCCTTGGTTTCATTCGCCATCATCCCACTGAATATTCTTCAGTGTTGTTTTGTCTTTTTGGACACTGAATCCTGCTTTGGCAGAAACAGCTCACTCTAATATCAACATCTGCTTTGAGTTACACGGAGTGGCAATTTTAAACTAACAGTTTCTCAATCTAAAACTCAACGTCTATTTCAGCTGGTTATTTTTAAGCTGTCAAGGCCCAACACTGTATAGCTGGGTTTTTTCCTCTCTTTCACCATATTTTTTGTCTCCCTGCAAGTAAGCGAGGTCACAAAACTGTGTTTCTGAAGGTGCTACGTAGATCTTTCTGATCATAAAAATCAGATCTTATGTTTTCAGGCAAGATTCCAACACATTTCAAAGTAGCGTTATTGATACTGGGACTGTCCTTGGTTCATACAGAAAATGGAGGTGTAGAAGCAAAGAGCTTTCCCCCTCCTATATTAGGCCACTACCATTTCAACAGTGTAAGGCCAAAGAGGATTACTACACATCCTTCAAATTCCAGTTAGCAATCCCATTCCTGACAGCCCTTCTGGACTAAGACTTCATTTGCACACAGTTCAGTGTTTGGAAATGCAAGTTTCTTCAGCATGAAAACCCAGCAGCAGTGCCTTAGGACAGAACCCACAGACACTCCCCACAGCTCTGTGGGCTCCCCCTGGCTCATGCTGCTCTGTAATGCTATGCACCAAGATTTCAGTCTCACGTGTTTAAACAAAGTACTGCCTCCAGACCTTAAAAATACACTAAACCGTATCTATATCTAACAGTAGAGCTGTTTAGAAAGTTGCCCTTTAATGATAACTGAAGGAGTATACTACTAAAACATCCAAAGTAAATCATTTGTTGAGAGGGGGTGGGGTCTAAAGGTCATATTTTTCCTCATCTGTTTACAAGATTTTCTCTTCTGTCATGGAGCAGAAGGAGGTGCTTAGAATGAAGAGAGATCTCACCAACCAGGCTCAGCAGGGGAGTCAGGTGCAGTAGAAGGTATTTCTCTACATACACACCAATAAAGCTGCCTTGTAAACAACACTTTATTACAAAGCAGAACAAGTACAGCATAATGCATCAAGCAGGAGCAAACTGCAGACAGAACAGCAATGAGTCACACAACATACATAATCCTGCAGCTAAAAAACAGGACCAGAAACAAAGGACAAAGATATCTGCACAGTTGAGAGTCAAAACGGGTATCTTCTGCTGCAAAGTCACGTATTTTTAATATATACACACATATATATATGCACAGTATCTGTTTGTGGGCAGTACTATAAGGATAGATTAAGAGATAGTTTGAAAGTAATTTCATTTACAAAGTGATCTTACTGGAGACTGGCACGCAACACGTACTGACCTTATTAAAAAAAAGGTACAGGTAAAGACAGCATGAGATTAAATACTGATCAGCATCAATGGAAACCATTCACCACGTAGCAAGTCAGCAGGCAGAGCCACAGTTTTAAGTTGTACGATTGCTCACAGGTTGCATACCTAAACAAAGCCAAACCTATGAACTACAAGTAAACTTCAAAACTACTTCCAAAATGAAAACACAGCAAAGGGGAAAAAACAGGGAACAATACGGGCTCCTATTGCCATGGGTTAACTTCCCTGCTGGAGGGCAGATCTTAAGACGTAGTTGTAACTGTAACGTAACATATATCTTTGCATGTGATGGAACTTGTTTGAATTCTTCAGCTTGCAGAAAGTTGTGGCAAAGAAGGTTCTCAAATACTTAAAACATAATACAGTCACTCCAAAGTCAATATTAGACTTCATTAAATGACAACAGCATAGAAAACTGATACTAAGAGGCTTTTCTCTACAGCAACGGTCTCCTTCTGAGTTCATTACATTTCATATTGAAGTGGGAAGCGCAATCTTCCAAATAAACACAAATTAAGGAGCTTCTTTGAAATACTCCTTAAAACACCTCTGCAACACTCAACAAAAACAAGTTTTTGAGAGAACGCTGCACAGTCCACAGCTGCATGAGGTGTCCCAGTGAGCTCAGTGGAGGCCAGGCTGGGGTACAGCAGCACCCTGCATCCACGCTGTGAATGCGCAGACCCAGCAGCACACAGGGAAGTTTTCCCTTTGCTGCCTTTTAAAGCAGTCAGCCCTCCTCCCCTCCAGGGTTCCCAGGCTCCTCTCACTGCATGTAAGACGCAGAGCTGCTTGTTGCCAAGCAAACCTCGGGCAGGAGATGACAAACAGCTTACATCTCCAAGCATCAATCACCCCCACGGATGCTCTCAACCAAATGAATCAGAAATTCATGAGGAAGGTATTCATGTAGCGGTATATAAATTAACCTATTTCTATTTTGGGCTACTCCTGGTTGTGACAAAGAAGCATTTTCTTTGCCGTCAGTTTTCCATCTCCCAAAACAGCAAGAAGGCATGTCTAAACGAAGCCAGTTTTTAAACGCATCTCCTCCCAGAAGCTGCAGCTTGAGCCAGGCCCGTGGCAGCGGGTGCCCAGATGGAAGCACGCCGCAGACCGAGGGGTGCCCGCGCTGCAGGGCCCGCGTCCCTGGGCTGCTGCAGGCGATCCGAGGGGAGAAAAGCCACCACAGGCGGCACAGCATCGCTCCGCTGGCTGAAGCACCCTCTCTGCTCCACACAACATGTGGATTTAGAGCTGCTATTTCGATCCGGACAATAGAGGACGCCGAGTAGGAGGAGGGAGCGCATGACAGGGACGCGGTGCCGCCCCGCAGCCCGGGGAGAGCCGTGCCCGCTCCGCGCCGGGACACGCGGGGCAGCCAGGAGCGGCACGGCCGGGGAAGCTTCTACGGCCCAGACCCCAAGACGGAGCCACTCCGTGCCGGAAAGCCGCTGTGCACAGACACAACAGAGCAGGGTTCCCCTTCCCTAGGCGAAGAACGCTCGCGGACCGGCTTCTAACTCCGCCGTCCAGCCGGGGCAGCCGCCCAACCCTCCCCGGCCGAGGCCCCTCCGCTCCCCAGGCCCGCCGCCCCCACGCTTCCTCCTTCGGCGAAGACCTCCCTGCAGGAGCGGAGCAAGGCAGCGCGGCCCGGGCCGGCAGCGTCCTCCCACCCGCCCGCTGCGGCGGAGGGCGGCCCGGGAGGAAGGCGAGTGGTGCCCGCGGCCGGCATGAGCTCGGGCGGAGCGCGGGCCGCGCCACGGAGGCCGCCCGCCGGCTGACAGCCGCCCGTTCCCGCGAGCCCCGCGCCGGAGCCCAGCTCTCCCCGCACCGCGAACGGCCGCCGCGGCCCCGCCGAGCCCGCCCTACCGCCACCTGAGAGAGGGAAGAAGAAAGGCAGCGCCGTGCCCGCAGCGCGCCCCTACCCCTTAGCGTGCTCGGCCTCCTCCTCATTGTCGCCATCTATGCCGCAGGTGTCCTGGTCATCCAGCTCCAGGCTCTGCTGGCTGGCCGCAGACTCGCTGTCCTCCGCCATCACGGGGGAAGGAGGGAGGGGAGGAGGCGGGGGAGCCTATGAAAGGAGCCGGGGCGCACGGGCAGATGCAGTCCGGAGGAGCTCCCTCTAGCTGCTGTCCTCCCCCGTGCTGGCGGAGGAGGCGGAGGCCACGGGGCCTGGGGCCGCGGGCCGCTCCCCGTCGCTCGCAGCCGCCCGAGGCTGTGCGGTGGTGTCCCGCTCCCCCCGGCGCCTCGCACCCGCCGGGCGCCGCCTCCCCTCCGTCGCCGTTCGGTGCCCCGCGGGCGGCATCGATCCCGCGCCCACCGCCTTCCCGGAGCGGGGAGGTCCCTTAGGCCGCCCCGCAGCCGTGCTGGGCCTCCCTGGGGGGGGCCGTGCCCCTCCGATGGGGACGGCGGGCTTTCGCAGCGCGGAGCGCGCTCTGCCGGCGCCGCGGTTTTTGTTCTGCTGGTGATATTTTGACACAGAGTTGCTGCTAGGAGGTACAAGAGGGCCTTGTCACCGGCCTAGCAGCACGCCGTGCTTTCCTGAAGTGGGATCTGTGTGACGCTGAAGGACGCCCAGTACGAATCGTTCAGCTGATGTTAAGAGGTTTCACACCGCCAGCGGCACGCAGCCCTGGGAACGGCTTCACATCAGAGCTGCGGAGGCCACAACCCTGATGTTATCATGGAGCAGCGCTGGTTTGTGAAGGCACGGGAGGATGCTTCCAGTCTGGGGCTGTTAGAGGAAATCATGCTGCTTCCAGGGCTCTTCTTTTCTATAAATTCCATGCTGGAAAAATTGAGTCAGAATCATAACAATTCCAAACCAGGAAAACAAATCAAGAGAACCTTGCATTAATTGTTTGAACTCTCATGATTTCCAGGGTTTCACTGAGATTTCTGGATGGAGTTCAGAATTTCTAAGAGCTCGCTTTGGCTGGCTGCCAAGGGGTGCATTAAAACCTAAGAATAATATGCACCAGTTGAAGTTTCTCCTTATCTCTGCCACCCTCTTGAAAATCGTTTAATGTGAAGAAGATAATGCAGATGCTGTGTCAGGTAACACAGCTTGCTGGCCTGGCAGAGGACTGCTACATAGCCGTGCAGCTGTTCTCTGTGAAACTGCAGATCTGCACGTTGAGCGCTGGTTGAGGGCCGCTCTGTCCCGCTGCAGTTGGTCCTTACAATATGCAGGCTGCCGCAGGAACTTGTAATTCAAATCCATAATGTTCTCAAAGACTCAAAGGCAGAAAATAGCATGATAAAAAATCAAAGGCTGTCCACTGTACTTCATACGTGAGTTGTCTCTTAACTTCCTTGCAAGAGCACTGATTTTGCAGGTTTATATGTCCCCAGGTAGCTGTATGGGGGCCTAGCGATACACTTGCACCAGACAAAGCAGACTTTCAAAGGCTAGCAGACGTGTTTCATCTTAAGTGTACCAGGTAAAGTGTTTGTTAAGATCTGAATTTACTGTTCCTTGTTGATAAAAAGACCTCTCCCTAAAGGTACAGAGAGAGGTAAGATCCTTTTAGTTTAGGAAGACTTAAAAAAAAAAAAAAAAAAAAAAAAAAAAAAAAAAAACCAACCAAAGAATCAAACAACCGTGGTTACTCTGCACAAAAGCGAAAAAATCAGTAACAAAGGAAAACAGGCTTCCTTATCAGGAGATGAACTTCACTCAGTACTGAAGAGCATATCATAAAATAATTCCATTGTTGGATGAATTTGGTGGGATGGATGTTTTCACAGTTTTCCTTAGAACAGTAGTAGCGAGTCTTGGTTTGCTTCTATAAACAGCCAAAATATCCAGTTGGTTATGGCAGCAAATTGGAAGGAAGGAAGAGAGAAAGGTTGATACAAACACCACAACTGTGGCCCTGCCTGGCTGCTCTCACTGCTGCCAGCCAGCAGGTAACAGCATTGCATGGGGGACCCTCTGCACCACCAGTTTTCCCCACCTTTGCTCCCTTTCCAGCTTCTCTCTCTTTCACCTGCTTTCTGTTACAGCCGTGAGCTTGAGTACACAAAATTAACCTTTGCCTACAATTCTGAGAGGCTTTCAGCCAGCTTAAATGTGAGCGTATGAGTATAGGCTCAGATCCACAAATAGACTGGGGTGATGCAGCATGTGACTCCCACAGCAAAATCCAGCACTGAAAACGAGGCTTTAAAAACACCCAAATACGTGGAGCACTGCAGTGGCTGACAGAAGTTCAAAGCCTCCCTGGGCTACCAAGTGAGGAGCCACCACAACTTACCCACAAGTACTGAGGCTCGGAAAGTCTGGACTCCAGCAGCTGTGCAGGGCTTTGTCAGATCTTGCCTGTCGGATTAAACATCAGGTCAGGCTGTCTAGGATGCGGTTTGTGGTACAGCTTGGATGTTAGACTAGGGGGAGGCCTACACTCCACACTCCAAGTCTCTTCTATGGATTTCATCATCTGTTGTTTTTTTTTTTTTTTTTTGTTTGTTTTTTTGTTTTTTTTTCAATATGCTGTTAGAATATGTAAACAATAGGTAGCATGCTGGCATTGGTATCATGAATGTCTGTCAGCAATCTTTATTTATTTTCAGGCGAGCATTAGGTGTTCCTATTGTATGTGTGGCACTGGAAACTCACGTTTAGATGTTCACACAGCTACAGATAAAAGCATTAGAAAGAGATTGTCGTTCCATTAGAGGTCCCAGCCAGCTGCAAGATCTTACTCAGAAGTAGCAGACAGTTCAGTTTCAACATAGCTTGGAAGGAAAGATGGCAAGGAATTCTTTAACAGAAGCGTAGTAATAGAACAAGAGATACAAGCTTTAAAACAAAAGAGGGGAGATTTCAATTAGATAATGTGGAGAAATTCTTTATACTCAGAGGGCAGTGAGGCAGTGGCACTGCTGCCCAGAGCTGTGAGTGCCCCATTTCTGGAGGCACTCAAGGCTGGGTTGGATGGGCCTTGGGCAGCTGAGCTGGTGGGGGCAGCCCTGCCCACAGCACAGGTTGGGGCTGGGAGGGCTTTGAGGTTCCCTCTGACCCAAGCCATTCTGTGGTTCTGTGATTAACTACAACCCAGTGAACAAATTACATACAGCATATACTCAGAGTAGTGGCATCATCTGATCATTTGGTGTTCTGAGTATTAAACGCTGCAGAAGTATCTGAAATTTTCATGCAGTTGTAGGATTGCTTCTACCTCTATCTATCACATTGAAATATTCATTGCCTTTATAATTTAAAATGAATTTGATAATGAAAATAATCTTGTAAATTGGAAGCAAAACTGATCCTTTTTGAAAATTTGTTAGTAGTTGCATGTTTCTTCTATTGTCCTAATTTTTTTACTTTTTTTTTTTTTAAGACAGCAAACAAATGTTTAGACTTTGCTTCACATGAATGGCTGTGGTACCACCTCACAACTACTTTTTATTGGCTGCTCTTTATGCTGAGGACTTACACACCACCTTCTTCAGTCCTGAACGAGATGCAAGGCTGGGAGATCAGAAAGTCAAACTACACTTAACAAATGCATTGAAAGCATATTTGTAGTCTTGTAAAAGCAAACATCAGAATAGAATGAAATGGCTGGGCAGTGAGCATGTGATCCAGCGTGCTGCATGCTTGTATCCATGTGAACTCATGGCCCTGATGATTTGCCTCTCCCACTCTGCACCCGTTCCGCCTGCCTGTCTGCCATACATGGCGAGCTGCAGCCCTGCTCGTTTCCCTGTGCTGCTGGGGGACGAGTGCTGCCAGAATGGCCCATCTCCCTCCTGCAAATTCACCCATGTTCTATAACACAGCTCATACCACACCTCTTCCATGTTACCCATTTGCTTTTGCAATGAAGAAGCTACTGGTGCCTGTATTAGCAAGGGCTGCTGCCTACACGGCATTAAATAGGGGTTAGGCATTTACTGCACAGTGAAAACAAGTTATAGCATTTAAAATGTGTACAATAAATAGAAAACCTCATCCTGAAGGGCATAAGTGATAAGGATAGAAAGACTTTTATCCCATGGGGGTTGTTATCACTGGTAGAGATCTCTTCCCCAGGTTTCTGACACACCTGTTTTTAATGATGGTGGGAGCAGAATACAAGGCTCAGATCAAACACAGGTTTAGACCGGTTCCAGAGCAATTCCTCTGTTGCTCTGCTCTCTATCCTTAAAAGATAAAAAACAAAAAAACAAATAATGGTTTACATACAAAAATACTCAAATAACTGCAATTGGCTCTTACTGATTATTACAGACTTATGCACTTACCTTTTGCATTTTTGCATCTAATCTTTTTTTTCTAACCCTTTCAGGCTCTTCTCAAACTGTGAATGAGAATTAGTGGTGACAGATTTATTGATAAGGATGGAATTGACACTGATCAGGAGCTTCAGGAGCTCTGACCACTACTTGGCAATTACTTCTGCACATCCATCTCCAAATCAATCCAATTTACTCCCATCCACTCCCAAATCAGTCCTTCTGTCAGCCTCTTGCAATTCCCCCTCAATCAGACACCTGGTCTTTCTCCTCTCTGCTGGGAGGCTGCAGGTACAGCTGAGATCCTTTCCCTGGCTCTGAGCGGTGGGAGTGGAGAAACACAAATGACTCTTCATTCCCTGACCATTCCAGTGTAAGTTTCCAAAAATGAAAGTTTTCAGAATTTTCTGTCATTCTGACAGTTCTTCATCCCAAAGCAGAATGGGACTCTTTCTTAAGATAGATGGAAATTTTTCCTGATAGAGCAAAGAGGCTGCAGCCTCACTATAACTCCCAAGTCAGAGCACTTGTGAAAGTCTGGGACTATTGGGATTCTCCTACATATCTGGTTTGCCCCAGGTGTTCAACAGTTTTAGACACCTTGTAACAGGGATTAGAAAATGGAAGGGAAACCTTGATGAATAGATTGGAATAGTTTCTGAAGTTCAGGGCCAGAGAAGAAGACGTGGATATCTTGCTATCCCCAACCCTCAGGTTGTTTCTATCAGGTGCTGTGGTATTGTTACCTATTTCCTTTACCATAAACCAACAGACACTTCTATTTGGAAAGGAGCTCGTCCAGTCTTGGGATACTGCAGCCCAAAGACAAGTGGACC